CTGAACAGCTCATATGAGATGTTCGGCGCCATCAAGCTCAGGACCATTCCATCGAATCGTGAGCTCATTCGCGGCATTGTCATGCCTCAGCTGCCGATGCATGAAGAAAACCTTCTTGAGGACGCTGCCCATGGACTCAACCACACTTTCGACAGGGCTGAGCAGCCACGCGCGGACGACTAGACTGATGAAAGGTTCCATCGAGCGACCACTTTTCCACAAACCTTTCAAGAGAGCTTGGTTGGAGCTAGTGCGTTCCTCACTACGCAGGACGCTGATTGCTTCGCGAACGCTGCAGCTCGGCGCCGCAGCCGATGGCGGGATCAGCTTACTGGACACCAGATGTCCGATGGCTTCGGAGACTGCGCTCACCTGGGCGTCAACTGATTTGTTTAGGTCCGGAAACCCTTTAGGTCACCAACCGACCGGACATAGAGCATGTTGCCCAGGAGCGCCTTGTTTGCTGTTCCTTTTCTTCCACCATCCGCGCCATCTCCCTCTCTCCTTGCCTTCAAGTTGCGGACCAGGGCGGCACAAAACGCCACGATAGGACGGACCTGTGGATTGCAGTTTGCTGGAGTCAAAGGGAGACCAAATCGCAAAGGGATAATTCGTTTCGGGCCAGGTTCAGAAGTCACCGGTGGTGTATCAATTTCGTGCAGAAATTTGGCTGCTTGGTGATTGCCATTTTCGGGTGCGTTTGTCGGCCCAATAAGCTGCAGGCTTGAACAAGGATACAGGTTAAAACTAAACACCACCTTAACAATTATATGCCCAGAGCCGTGGAACTGTGGGACTGTGGAAACTGCGGAAAACTGTGGAAGAGGGAAGTTAATGACAAAATATCAGGAGCACCAGAATTACCCCACAAAAATACCCTGATTTCTTGGAAACACCCAAACTGTTAATGGAAATTGGCATCCCCATTCAATGTCAACATCTAAGCACTGCGTGATAAATAAAACAAAAATGTTAAGTGAACAGTGGTAGACATACTTTTACTGAGACAAAAATGGATATGAAATATTCTGAGCATGAAGACACATGATGAGGCAATAATATTTTGGCAACAGAGTACAGTATTGTTACATGACTGACAACCTAAAATTGACTTTCAGTCATCACACCATCAAATCCATATATATGCAGGGGCTATTTTAAGATCATCAGTCAGGACATGCTGCATTTCAGGTGTCACAAATCCAACCAACGCAGCTCATCTTAGTATCCGCAGTTTTCTGACTGGAGTTTCATGGGTACTCAGAACAGGGATGCAGAGATGCTGGTTCAGGAGTGGCATCATCGTGGGCTCTGCTCACTGTGCAGCTTGTGATTCCTGGCAAATGGCATGACAACAACTTGATAAAAAGACATAAGACATCACACACCTTGGACACAGCACCACTGCTATAAGAAAATCCAGGTTAGGCACATATATCATGAAACACAAAGGTTGCTTGATGAAAGTGGTGGTGTATATCACAAAACAGCCTGATTTTTAACGGTAAATATTGTTAAACATTAGCTACTGTGCGGAATGGCCACTCATTCGTACATCCAATTTAAACTCTTCCCTTGGAGCCAAGATTCCCACTTTCCACCTGCACCAAAACGTGATTCTTAGGACAATTGGCAACCTTTTGTGCTTAGTGTGTTCATGTGCCTTTTCAAGTTTCTTCCTTCCCCATTAAAACCAGTTCACGTGCCCACAGCGCATCTTCATACGTGATGGATGTTTACCCATGCCTGGCAACTGAACATACAGGCAAAGCTTTAACGCAGAGGATCCTAGGCTATAAAGAGACAAGCGCGAATGTCCCAGCCTAATCCAAAAGTGCGATATATTTGTTAAAACGCCCAAAATTACGCGTAACCAGTATGCACGTAGTGAGCGTTTCCGACACAACAGATCACAACGCCGACTAAGCACCCACACATAGCGTCAGATATGTAACGCTCCGAATGGGGCTGAAAAAAGCGACTGCTCCGGGAGACAGGCGGCAAAGGTTAAAATCGCTCCGAAACCTGCGCAGGACAGACCCTCATACAATTTAACTCTGTCTCGCCGGGTGACACCCTCTGGCAACTAGTGGCTGTCTCCTCACTGATAGGGAAACCAATACTAAATTCAACGTCGTCGTGTATGATGTTATTGTTGTCGTCCATAACACCGCAGCGAAATTGTTTTATCGTTGAAAAAATGGAAAACTGACTTAGCAGGAAAACAGTCACAGTCTGTACGGGTGGCTCCTGGGCAGTCTGATCCTCATATTTTCTGTCTCTCACCCTGGTAGTCAAGTGAGCAGGTTTTTTCACCCCTGCACAGGACCCTCTGTTAGGTGCTTTGGGGGGCACCTGACAGTGCCAACGTCCCCAATAAGTATAAATCACTGGCCCGATTTTTTAACTGATTGGTAAGTGGGCCGTCAGGCCCATACCGACACGGAGCTGACTGCAGAACTGGTGGTGCCTGACCAACAGATATGCCCATATCGACTCAGAGGGTCCCGATCGGCGAAAAGGGCCCTCTGACCGTTATTTGGGGTGCCGTCTTCGCAGGTCAGGGCGCTAAAAACACCCCCAACCAACCCTTTGTGCCCTTAGACCATCCAATCTGACCTTCTGGATTCATTTTGTTCCCCTCGAACACTGCCTCTGGCTGGATGGGGCCCCTTGCCATCACAGGGCCCCTGCTAATCGCTGTAGGACCCCTAGCGATGTAGATCGCTGGCTCCGGCTTTGTCCAGTTTGGGAAATGGGCCTTTAGGCCCATGCCGCCACGGAACCGACTGTGTGCTACTGGTGGTGCCTGACGGAAATATAGGGTCTTATCGACTCAGTGGGCCCCTGATCAGCGCTCAGGGCCCTCTGGCTGGCGTTGGAGCGCCCGGCCCGCACCCGAATGCGACCTCCGGCCGACCTTTCGGGCCCTTAATCGTAGGTTCTGATGGGCCCTTCGGACCCCTCGAAAACCTAAGGGAGGGAGGGGCACGTGTCCCAGCCCTCCTGCCTGCGCTACCACACCTTTCCCAGAATAAATTAGGTCAATGGGGCCGCATTGGCGATTTGTTAAGTCATCCTGTTGTCTCAAAAACTAAGCATATTACGAGAATGCAGAAAGTGGAGTTCAAATGTTCTCGAAGCTCTAACGTGGACCAATTTCACCCTCATAAAGGCGCGCTGGCCCAACCCTCTTGTCTGCTTCTAGTGCCGAATTTCGAACGGACATTCTTTGAGCAAGTGCGGACACTGCCGATATCTCTTATGTGGTTTGTGAGCTACACAATCGAATTCACAACTATTGAAAAAAAACAGCCACGAGGTACGTTTGACAGTTGTTTTTTGGCAGGCATGGTGTAAAGAATGGGTTTCTGGTAGACCTGTTGGCTCCTCTTTTCGTGTTTGATGTTCAGCAATGCATGAACTGATCATGAATAATAATTATGCAACTGCATCAGTGCAGAGACCGCGAGAGAGCTTCAGAGCAAACAGAGTCATTCGTTCATCATGCTCATAAGTCCACTTCAAGTATCGAAAGCTGTCAATATAGGCGCTGCTGCCTCTATTGCGTGATTTTGATGGAGTATTCTACATTTGTTTAAGGTTTTGAAATGAAATAGCCATCTGGAAGATCATTCGGTGCAGTTCACAGCTCTGCCCTTCCAAACACCCAAGCATCTCTAGTTTCTGAACTACACGCCCTTGAAGATGTGCAGAGTATTTCGGGAGCCTATTTCAAGGTCATCCAGCATCCATGACGCTATGATAACGTCACTCAAGTGCTGGCATTCAGTTGGTCATGCGGCGATCAAGGGCAAAAAAAAAAATAGTCGCCGAATCATTGACATCTGGCGTGCAGGAGCGCGATTTCCAGACATCATGACCGTACATAGGCTCTCAATTAATGTTGTGCAAGGCACGATGACGTAATCAAACTGTGACGTAGTGAGGAGCATGTTTATTAAACAGAGACATTGTGGAGTAGTCTTTTCCACTAAAAAGCATACATCACTAAGGTATGTCAATGGCTATAGGTGGGCTTATTTCATCATATCTGCTTGCTTCAATGTCTTCAAATGTGGAAATTTTCCTTCAATCAATACCACCAGGTATGTTTAAGGTTGATAGCTCGGCGTAAAAATTCCGAACTTTTTATATATTCGTGCTTTGGCCACATGCAGTTGTCGAAGCAACAAGTCTAATAAGTGAGCAAATATATATGCTAATCAATATATCGCTAATTTGCTGCCTTTTGCTCATCTACTAATATGGAATGATACCAAGAAAAGGCCTCTCATCTACAGTGTAAAGTAAGAGAAGTCTGAAGAGCCTGGGAAGAGACTTGTTTATTCCTTTAGAAATGGTCGTCACGCTGCAGTAATTCTTGTTTTAATGAAATATCGAAATAAGGATAATAGCATTGTTTTCAAGCGGACGTCAACAGCCAGCCCGTGTCTCCCTGGTTCCCATGGAGTGTCACCAGCTCATGAGAAGAAACTGTCGCGAGACCCAAAGTACCATATTGTCTATGTGTGCTATGAGTCTGACCTAGCTTAACCTTTTGTAAATGTGCTCAGAGTGATCAGCACCTACTTGATTGGAGTCGACGATCACTCGCCAGACGACACCAAGCAGCTCAGACTCCAGACCACTAAATTACAGATGCCTTCACTCAGTGATGAGACTCTTCCGTCCACAGGCATCAGATCACGCCGCAATGGGCAGACACTCCGCAGTCGCCGTCATCAGATGACACTTCAGTGAACAAACACTCCGCAGTTGCCGTCATCAGATGGCACTTCAGTGAACAGACACTCCGCAGTCGCCGTCATCTGATGACACTTCAGTGAGCAGACACTCCGCAGTCGCCGCCATCAGATCACACTTCATAATGCAGACACTCCGCAGTCGCCGTCATCAGATGACACTTCAGTGAGCAGACACTCCGCAGTCGCCGTCATCAGATGACACTTCAATGAGCCGGTCCTCTCCGTTCACAGTTCACCATCAACAAGCAAACGGGCGTGATCCGGCTGGTGAACCGTCCGTTCAATTTCACCCAGGACGAGTATTCATTCACGGTGGTTGCCCGTGACACTCACAACCAGGACGCCACAGCCTCCGTCAGGGTGGAAGTGATAGGTCAGTAGAAGCCCGTGAGTGCCGTTGGGACGGACGCCAGGCTCGGGACAGTCTTGGACAGAGCTTTGTGTTTGGGGAAGTTGTGTTCTTCCGAGGAAGAGCTGTGCCATAGATATACAAAGATACGCACGCATGCACACGCATGCACGAACCCATTTTGCATCGCTCATAATCTTCATCTGCTCAGCTTTGCACGCGGCCTCTCCAAACGAAAGAGACAGATGTTTCTTGTTACTGTTCTTCCCCTCAGATGCAACATGCATTTGTCTTTGAGAGCTATGTGTCTATGTGGATCTGTTGTATTTATGACATCTCGACTTGCGTCCACAGACGTAAATAACAATCGTCCAAAGTTTCCTGATTGTGACAAGTATGAGCCCGAAGTAGAAGAAAACAAGGATGCCAGTACGCTCGTACTAACGGTAAGCGCATAGCAGATCATTTGCATCATGTTTGCTGTGTTTGGGCTTATTAAAATACGTTTTCTAGGCAGAGTTAATCTTTAGCTAAGTTAATTAGGTAATTGGATAGCCAACAGGCGGTTAGTGGGCTACGAAAATGACGTCAGAAGCACATTTATCTCACTGCTTTTCAATGCCAACATTGTACCAGAAACGCGTACATGGCGCAGACGTAGCTGTGCGGAAGTATGGTACATGACTCCCAGCACTGTTGATCCGAGCGTGCGATCGATGAGGGCGCAGCTCAGAACAGGGCTAACCTCGCTGTGTTTGCCAGGTGAAGGCGACCGATGCTGACAAGGGAGCAAACGCCGACCTGGTCTACTCACTGGTGACCAGTCCGAGCTCCCCAGACTCGCTCTTCAAGATTGACAGAGAGACGGGCGTGTTGACCACTGCCAAAGTAGGCTCACTACTCGGGGGAAATAAGGAATGAGAACGCTGACGAAAACATGCTAAAAATGTCATCCTGATGACAGTGAAAGGGAAGACAATTTTGTCCGAATGTTGTGTGTCTCTGGACGTCTCGTGAGCGGAAATGCATTCGCTCTCGTTTTGAATTAATAAGACGTTTGCGAATCATTATTAAATAATTTTCATGCCTCATATGTGCATCAGCGTTAAATTTTGTAACATTTGTGGTGTTTTTAATTCAATCTTACTACATTTTTACGATATATATGCACATATTTTTACATTTACATCACCGCACATCTCACCTTTTGTATTACAGTATTTTGTAACACTTTTGACAATTCAAGGACAGGTCGATGTCGTGAGACATTCGGTGCTTTGAGAAAACCGTCTATGCATCACTGGCGAGTCCCTGTTTGGTAGCATTGCATAGCCATAGTGAATAGGGCGCAAAATGACCACAGTAGTTGCGGCGCCCTAAAACTCCAATCAACAACGAGCCATGGTGAATATATATCGTGGTTTCAGTTAGCTTATCCCCTGACACTTAATCCACGGTTGAGTACGAGCCCGAACTCGAATCGACTTTTGTTTTAGCAGCTTCTGAGTACAAGATGCGCGCCGAGGCTCTGGAGCCGTCTCCGGGACCGGCGCCTTTGTTGACACCACCCCGTCCTCCCCTCGGGCAGAGCTTTAACCGGGACGCGCCGGACCACGACAAGGAGTTGCGCGTCATTGTGAAGGCCAATGACAACGGGGAGCCGTCTCTGGAGGGTACCTGCGCCTTCATCGTCAATGTCCTGGACGTCAACGACAACTCCCCACTGTTCGACAAAAGTGTAAGCACAGTCTAGTAATAAAAAAGGTAGTAATAAAAAAGTTCACAGCACAGTCTAGTATCTTGCCCTGTCGGCGGCCGCCGAAAGTAGCACTAAACAGTGTACGTGCCCGAAGCGGCTGCATCGAGAGGCTCGGCCCTTCTGGAGCCGATGTACCTCCACGATATGGCACACATGCCATAAACGCAAATAACCCACCTAGTCTTGACTATCATGTATTTCTTATGTTCGTCGACCGCTTGCTCTTTTCGTTGCGACTCGTCTGCGAGAGCATGTTTGTTTTTCAGCATTGGCGACTTCGGAGGCAGATGCATGTTCCGCTCACCGCTTATCCGGTTCATGAAGGAGTCAAAGCCCCCGAACGACGTGTAACAAAGGGAGCGAAATATTGGGAAAAGTAAAAATTAAATCGGTTTTGTGAGTTAACTCTGCCCCTCCGAAGCTAGGCCATAGACCATAGTTTTCGAGCTCATTTTCTGAAATGCTGAGGATACTGCTGCATCCTTCTGAGATCAGGACGACGATACGATGCCGCTGCGTCTCTTGCCACAGGACTACCTGGAGACGATCGCCAAGGACACCAAGCCAGACACGCAGGTGGAGCGCGTGTCGGCAACGGACGACGACGTGGGCGACAATGGCGCCATCACGTACTCACTACAGGCAGTGCGGCCGACCGACGCGTCCGATTACTTCGGCATAGACAAGCGCACCGGCGTCATCACGCTGACCAGGCCACTCGTGGAGGTGCGCCGTCCGTGCTGGGTCCGCTGGCTGCCGGCTGGCCGCCCATCCGCACGGGGCGCAGACAATGTGGGAAATGCCAGGGTGGAGGAGGTGCATGGGGTCGCTGGGGATCGGAGGGAGACACGCCTTTTCATGCAGACACAAGGTATTTGTCCGCATTATTGAACCTAGCGAGTGCTCCAATACCGTACACTTCCTGTCTGGCTCATATGATAATTTGGTCCAGAAATGTCATCACTGCTGTTGGGCTGGCTGACTGGATGTCTCGTCGATTAACCTTGTTTGTGCAGCTTGGTCAGACGTTTTCTTTTTCTGCTGACCTAGTTCGCCATCGACTCTGAAATCCGCCTGGAGGCGGTGGCCAGCGATCAGGGCGAACCGCCTCGGTCCAGCGAGGCGCAGGTCATCATCACTGTCAAGGACTCCAGCACGCGGCCGCCCTCGTTCATCGTGAAACCCGACCCAGTCTACACTCTGGATGAGAACTATCGCGACACGGAGACAGGCATCGCTCGACTCAAGGCCGTGTGAGTGTCCTCTGTCCTAGGTACCGACTGCCTGAAGTCAAGGCCATGTGACTGTCTTCTTCGGTGTGAGCCGACACCCACCTCCCGACTCCGGGTCGGAGCGCTCTTCGTGAGAGATAGGTGCCGCCAGCCGCGCGAGTCATGCGGGCGTCCCCCGTCCGGAAACATTCGTCACCCGGCTAAATTCCGTGTGAGCGATGCTCCCCGCATTCGCTGACGAATGCTGCGCTCAATGCCGCGTCGTCGTCTCCAACATGAGACGGGTGTGAGCATTGCCCAACCTCCAGAATTTGCATAAAGCTGGTGCTGTGATGTAGTGTGATCAGCCACGGGAGCAGCGTTACATTCGTGACACTTCGCTGTTGGCTCTAGTATCATCACTTTATCCGTGACGTTTTGGAAACAACTTCGAAAACCTCCAAAACTATGATTTGTCTTTTGTGAGCGAAGACTGCTTACAGAAGTCCTCGTGATGATACGTCACGCTTTGTCTGTGGCAGGTCTAAGCTGCCGGGCAGTCCCAACGTCTACTACGACGTCGTGAGCGGCTCCCAGGAGCATACCAACAAGTTCCGCACGTTTGTAGTGGACGAGGACGGCGAAGGTGGCGCTATAGTTCGATACGGCGGAAGTCGGCAACTGGACTACGAGCAGATCAAGGCGTACAATATCACTGTCGAGGCCACGGTAAGCAGGGTGCTTTCTGGACATCACCTGCGACTGTTGGCAAACTAGATAACCAGCCTATGCGGCAAACTTCCAAATAAGTGTGTAGTACAGCCTGCCATACTCGGTCCCTGTGAACGACGCACAGGCGTAGTAGTAGGTGAGAGCCGCTGCGTTTCTTGTGACTGAACCCCTGTACTTGTCAGACGGACCAGCGAACCAGAGCAGAGGTCACGTTCGAGATTAGGCTACGAGACAAGAACGACGAAATTCCTATATTTTACGGCACTGACCGAGCGATGGTCCCCGAGAACTCACCACCGGGTACCTTTGTGGAGGTGGCGACGGCTGTGGACGGTGACAGCACTTCACCCAACAACCAGGTCAGTCTGTGGGAAGGCAATGTCGACCACCGAGATTATGCTAGTCACCGAGATGCAGCACATTAATTACGAACTAAAAAGACAGAGTAAGGAGAAATGTCTTCCCATTCTCACGCTGTACCTCTTTCACACTGCACAGAGAAAGAGGTACAGACAGACACTTTCGCTGTCTGTCTGTCTGGCTGTCTGTCTGTCTGTCTGTCTCCCTCTTCATTTTCTATTTGGTTTTACTCTTTCCTCCCTGTCATTCCATTGCTCACCTCCTCACCTCAGGTTCTTTCTTTACCTAAAAATATGATTGCAAATGAGCTTTATCGTGAGATGCTGAAATAAGCAGTAAAACTGATTTGTCCTCTCTATCCTCGGGTGTTGGGCCTTCGGCCTCCCGTGCGATCATTGAGCACCCGTCTGTCGCGCAGGTGAGTTATAGCCTGGACCGAAAATCGCCCGAGTACCAGCTATTCAGCATAGAGTCGGGTACGGGCCGGGTGTCGACCCGCGTCAGGTTCGACCGGGAGGACGAGTCGCGGCCGTCTCCCTTCTACACCATCACCGTGCTCGCGGAGGACGGCAGCCCGTCCGACATCCAGAAGAACGGCCAGCCTAACCAGGGTAGGCGCGACGCCACGTGGAGATGCGGCCCCGGGCGGACACGCGATACCGCCGCTGGGCGTGGAGGCGGGGTTTGGCGGTACGACGCAGGTGCCACCCAGAGGTGTTCTCTTCCAGGCTGTATACTTTTCGGCCGGGCATCAGGGCACCAGCTTTCTCATTTTTGGAGGAATTTTAGGGCTAAATGCGTACACGCATTACGCGTGCATAAGCACAAACGTCGTAGTGGTTGGATCGAGCAGATCAAGAAAGTTTTGTTCCGCTATGACGTCATCTAACTCCATTAAACAAGATATGTCTTAGAGAGAGAACCCGAAGTCGTTATGAACCCGAGAGGTCTGGCATTCCCTGAATCACTAGGCTCTCCAGTCCTGCGAAGTATGCCTGTTCATTTGACTACAACTGCACTCTTGTCACCACCCACCGTGCTGCATTGTGCTTGGCGTATCGGTTACGACGTAACAAACACGCGGAGAAGAAGCCAAGGGTCCCACCCTCCCAGACCATCGTGCCGGGGCTTAGCAACATCGCTGATTACCCGTAGCAAACGGAGGGATCACTAATTCCGGTCATTTCTACAGCCAAGCATCGCGTCACAGTGGAGATCGGCGACGAGAACGACAACCCTCCGTCGTTTGATCCCTCTGGCGTCTACAAGGCCTCCGTGATAGAGAACTCCGATATCGGCTCCAAGGTCTTCGACATATCAGCTAAAGACGAGGACGACGGTAAGATTCGCAAGCTGAGTGATAACTATGCCCCATTAACCACAAACGATGGACCGCTGAACGGGTAGAGCCTATAGCCATCAACAAATTCCCTTACGCATCGCCGGAATTGTCCGCTTTCTGGTCGATTTCTGACGCACTTATGTGCCAGACAGTGCTGAGAGCCCTAGTGAGCAGTCGCCGGCACATCGCACTTAACAGCGCAGCTGATTGCAAATGTACATCTGTTCTGGCTGCCGATGTGTGACATCAATCTTAAACAAAGTTCCACACTGGGAAAATCCCTGGTCCGCACAGATTGCACCACGCCTTTGCCAGTACCTTTGTTATCTTCTCCTTTGACACTAGCTCGTATCAAGGCACCGCGACACCTGGTTGCAAAGATCTAAGCCCCTTTCGGATCCGTGCCATCCACGGCGGCTTACGATCCATCTTCGCCGCTCTTCTTTTGCTTTTTGTCTGTTTGCGTTTTTCCTGGATGGTCCACAAAATTGTCATGTGTATAACGTCAACCCTGGCCCTGTCAGGGGAGAGTGTCGATGCGACCCTTGCCCTAAGGCCTGTAGAGGATACCGCTCCGACATGGCGTGCAAACACGCTCAACTTTCAGTAGCCTATGAGCTATCCATTGCGCGTGTTTTGACACAAAAAACGCATTCCCAATTTTTCTGGTCTCGGAGCAGCGGCGGTTTCTTTTTAGGAACACCACGGCGGTTTATGGCCGGCGCGGGCGGTGGGTGGCGATCGACCGCGCCACGGAACGCGCGCGGCGGGCCGACATTGTTACATTAACGGAACTATATATCATAATTTTATGCTCAAACCACGTACAAATATACACTATCATACTTAGAATTGAGCAAGGAACACGACCGCTTAGATCTTGTGTCGTCACAAGGCGTAGTCTCGTAGGTATAATGCTGTAGATCTGAAAACGTGCAATTTTCTAGAAAATTTCATCATTCACCTGACGTAGTGGGGACAATTTTCGGCCTCAAAAACATAAAAACCGGTGCCAATCGCCGGATCACGCTAAGACCAATCCAGTGATATTTTTTGTTAAGCTCTATCTCTATTAATATGAAAACGCCTTGGGGGAGGGAAGGGTGCCGATCGACTCCCCTATCAGTCCGTGTTATGAAAAACGGCGAATCAGGGTGAGGGTTAAAGGGAGTGTCCACAGTTATGAGGTGCTGAGCTGAGGTAGCCATTTTGAACATCATTCACTTGCAGTTCATAGCCATGCCCTTTAAAGATTCAAAACACTCTTGTTTCTAAACTTGGTGCCCGCGAACTTGTGTAGGCTATTTCATGCAGACCATTTCAAGGTCACACAGGCATGTATGACATCATAGACACGTCTGGGAAATACCACTACCTCAACGGTCATGCCGTGTTTTGTGTGAAGGAAATATGACTGACTGATGAAAAGTGATATTGATAAAAATATGAGCAATAGTAAGTATCGCATCATTCGTGTCTTGTGCACGTCGGTACGATTCGCAACATTACAAGGAATATTCACATTCGAAGATATTGAAACAAGCATCAGGCATGATGAAGCAAACTCACTTATATCTATCGGCATGCTTTTTTAAGTTGAACAGACTGCTAGAGGCAGCAAAATTATCTGCTTAATAAGTATGCTCCTCAATGGATCATGGTTTGATTACGTTATTGTACCTTGCAAAGCATTGATAAATAGCCGATTGACGGCCCTTGCATCTGGAAATCGTGCTCATGAACGCCATATTTGAACGACTCGACAAATATGTCTTTCTTGGACTTGATGGCCGCAAGGCTAATAAAATGGGAAGATTTGAGAGGCGTCATTGTGGCGCCATGGACGCCTGGATAACCTTGAAATAATCTCCCGAAATAGTCTACAAATCTTCGCAGGCGTAGAGCTCAGAAACTAGCGGGATTAATGCCTTAAGAAAGATAGGGTTGTGATCTGCACCGGATAGTCTTCAAAATAACCAGTTCAGATCAAAACCTGATACAAAAGTGGAACACTGCTTAGTACGGGCCCGGGTGGCCAGTTGAATATATTTGCTCGGGTGGGGGAGTTACGTTGACCCCTATTATCTCAGAAACGGAGAGAGCTGGGAACACTAAACTCACAGGATCTTTTGGCCTGTGCGTGAATTCACTTGCGTAGAAATATGGGGTTCCTATGTCATGACCTTCGGGTCACACCAGTTCAAACAAGGCCAAACTCCAGATTGGTGTCCAGTGTGACCCAGAACATAGGTACCTGTTCTAAATAAAATATCACTGGTGCTCATTTGTGATCAGATACCTTGTTTGAACTTTTGGAGGTTGTGGTGCTAAAATAAAATAGTACTGCTTTAAGTTTCGGATTCAAATAAGCGTCAAAAATTACGCTATGCAGTATGTTCCTCAAAACCAAATTTCAGCCTGGGTCATATTAGGTCAGTGACCTATCCGTACCTTTCAAAACTCTGTTGAAGATGCATAATGCGGCTTCTGTTATCAATGAAGTCGAAGTGAGTACCAAAAACTATCCCACACAGAGTCATAAAACAAGAGTGATAAAGAGTGATAAAACTCTAATACACTCCAGAGTGATAAAACAAGTTGGCTTCGACCTAGGCCCAAAATTTTTACCTGACCCTGACCCTAGGGACCCTAGGTAAGGTCATACCTGACCCCATAAAACAAGTTGGCTTCGACCCAGGCCCCAAATTCATACCTGACCCTAGGGACCCTAGGTAAGGTCGTACCTGACCCCATAAAACAAGTTGGCTTCGACCTAGGCCCAAAATTCATACCTGACGCTAGGTCAATGGGGTTTCTTCATTCCACTGCTGTGATGCCTAAGAAACTATCTCAGAGGTGTATGGCTTCGTCTAACACTCTGTTGTTGCACAAGATTGATTTGAAAGATTGAGGGATTGAACGTTGCCGTGGAAATTGTCCTCTTTAAATCCGTGGCCTGACCTTGACCTACCATAGGTCAGTGACTTTACAAGGAAAATATAGCTTTTTATGTCAAACGATCTGCTATTTTACACGGTCATTTATAATATTATTTTCATTAGAGCCCTTTCGACCAGTGCCGATCATTCCAGGGCTATGAAATAAAGAAGATGAATAATGGTACGCAGGACTTCATGTGGCTGGGGGCACAACTGTCGGGACTAAGCCCGCACAGGCAGCCCTCCAAGGGGTGTGCGCTTGGCGGTCGGACGGGAACCCCATCAGGTGGCCCTTTTGGCCCACTAGTGACTGGCACATGCTGCTCGCCCCGGACAGGCTGGGTTTCGCAAAAAGTCGGCTTAAGCCAGGAAGAAAACAAGAGCGCGGATCGATCCGAACACGAATCACGTTTTGTACTGCGTAATGCAGGGCACTGGTCGGAGTGATGACGGAGTACCAGAGATACGGGGTTCGATTCCTCGCGGAGTCCGCCCTGTCTGCCAGGGTGAGAGGCACGTGACGCCATGCAGCCTCAGCGGCAGACTCAAATGTGGAACATTTCCTTTAATCGAATGTGATACGTCAGATCCTGGCGCAATTCAATGCTGCGGAAAACCTACTTAATTCAACAATTATGAATTCAATTCTTCGTTTTTTATATATGCATTACACTTCTATTTCCAACTGCATCATACACATTATACGCTTTTACATTACATAATTGATATTCCTGTTGTCAAGAACTGCGTGCGATCGTGCCTTCAGTGACTGTAGAATGATCAGTTTTTTAATGACATGACAGCCGGGCTACTCACTTTGAAAATGTTGTTACCGATTGCAAAAGACCCACTCAACATGTGGCCTCACCCGTTATCAGACGTCTGATCAGTGTTTCGATGGAAGCACAAGCCACTCACGAAAACATGTACTCAAAAGTAATACTCGCCAAGTGATGATGCGCCACCAAGTGATTTTTGTTCCCTGGTTATGCCCATAACACAGACTCGAAGATCAACTACCAGATCACCGACGGCAACTTTGGTGCTGCGTTCGACATTCAGCCCGATACGGGTGTGGTAACAGTCAAAAACCAAATCGACTTCGAGGCCATCCGCAAGGTAAGGGTATTTCCGCCACATGTCGGTTATGCTCATCTTCTCGATTTCACAAAACATTTCTGTGCGCATTTGGCGTGTTTCATTTTAAAGCTAGACCACTGAGAGGTTATATCACATTGTGAAATATGGATTTTGAAATAGTGAAATGTTTTCCCAATTCGATGTGGGAAAAAGAACAATGTTTTATTCAACGGGAGAGCTAAAGCCATCATGCAGCGAGCGTCATTGTGCGTCATTAATGAATATCTGTATTTGCAACACCATACATATTCATCTCCAATCGTCATGGATATTCCTAAGAGAGCAGCTCTCAGAATTATATTCTAAAGCATATCACCTTTGTGTTGCAACATAACTGGAACGTTGTACAGCCTTGGTACGCCAGACGAGAACAGTGAGACGGTAACATGCCAGGCGAAAATGATGGTTCGAACAATGATACCGTCCGTGGTCCAATGTGGCTTTTGCCCCACCATAGAACGTCGTGACTGTAACCGTCTAACGCGATCTGTTTCACGCCTCAGCACATCGCGACCCTGGCTGTTCAATATAACCTGTCTCCCCTTAACAGTATAAGATGTCTTTGAATGGTTAACGTGATTTGCCGCTCGCCGCAACGGCTTGACTGTAACGGCTGTAACGGTTTGACCTGGCTGTAACGTAAAATGACTGTACTACAGCTTGAGCTGACCTGTTGCTCTTCCCCAGTACGTCATAACCGTAACTGCGTCTGACGGGAAGTACGAAGACACCCACGAGGTTGATATCGAGGTCATCAACCAGAATGACATGCCTCCCGTGTTTGACAAGCAAACCTACGAGCAGAAACTGCGCGAAGGCTACCTTTCATCGACGCCAATCCTCAAAGTCAGCTTCGTTCACGTCAAAAACAAATAGTATCGTCAGACTCGCGATTTAAGAGTTCGTGACACTTCAAAGAAGTGCGGTGCTTGTGTTTGTCGCTTGGATAACGCTCAGCGTGTTAACTGTATATGTAATTACATGTGCGGCATTACTGGCCTTACAGAGTATCTTGCGTGCGACATTTAGTCTCACGCATAGGTATGAGCAATGAACCATTCATTCAGCTCTTAACATAGCCATGCCTTTTGGTCCCACTTTTTGGCCGGCATCTTAAGTGTAGCTTCGCTGTGGGTGTTCCATCGTAGTTTCTCGGTGGCACATTATAATTCAATTCGCAGCACTGCATAGTATGTTAAGCCAGTCATTAGGGGGCGAAAGGAAGTCGGTGAACGTCTGGGTCTCAATTCACGATCAAGTATGACAAAATCCGTAGCGCACTGCTAAAAGGAATAATGTAGGGACCAAATGGGTTTAAAGCAGGTTTCAGGCGGTGTGTAATTTCCATTGTCGCAGCTCACAAGCGGTTGTGATCCCCAGGTCAGGGCCGTTGACCCTGATCCGGTCGGCGAACCCTCCATCATTTACACGCTGTCGGGCCCAGGAGTGTACCCAGACCGTCCTCAGGACAACGTCTTCAGCATAAACCCCAGCGGAGAAGTGGTGGTTCTGAAGGTAACTGGCACTGAGCCACCGTCGTTGAACTGACCGATGTGTCATGACGTTTAGAAAATCTGATGAAAGCTAAGAATTGGTTATTTGTACCGCTGTTATTACCGACATTCTGTCAAGAGTTTTGTTTTTCTATGCTATTCGTGGTTACATCAACACCATGCGTATAGCACGAGCTTCGAAAAAGTTGTACAATTTTATGTTATGGTGTTTCCTCGCCCAACTTCACGTCCGCTCACGCCTCAGCTAAACGGTAATCGTAGCGCATGATACTTTAGAGCAACGAATAGCTAAGAAAACACAGCGCTACTCAGCACGCTAACTCACACCACCTGTAACCAGTTTCATGAAGAGAAGTGGGCAAAAGGAAGCCGTTCAGTGTACTACCTAACCCACACTTCCTACGCCGGTATCATAAACCTGACAGCTCTCCCCCGAAGTTATCGTAAAATATATCGTCAATAAATAGTGTTCGTGATAAATAGTTAATAAAATATAAAATAATGATAAATAAATAGTCAATAAAATATGCAAATAAAATCGTCAAAACAAGTAGTCGCTCCCATCGCACCGATGCTCTCGCTTTGGACTCGAGAGGTAAGATGCCTATAATTAATCCAGAAATATTGCTAAGGTGACATAAAAAGTGTATTTATTTGTGGATCAGCTCAGTAATAAATTTGTGATGTGTATGACGATTCATTAACAGAATTTATGCGATCACTTTTATAATTCGCTGAAATGCAGGCATCTTATAATTCTCCATATTGTTCCGCCTCTCACAGAAGTAAACAAAGCTGTTTGGTTCGTGTGTTCGTATCCTAAGCTTCTCTGTACCACATGTGATGGCAATATGTGATGGTCTAAGCGACCAGAACTGTCTGAAATAGCTGACTGCATCCCTACCTTATGTAGTACATTTTGTGAACTTATATCGTGTCTGTCCGTGTCATAGCAAGAAAAAAAACATCAACTCGTGAAATCCACGACATGAGAGAAAGAACGTGGTTTTCACGACGGGTGCCACCTTTATCCTTCACAGTTCTTGGCGTATGCTTGCGATGCCTACAAAGTTACAATGCGAGCTGCAGTTGTATTGATTTTCTCTGACATACTGGCACATCCACCGTTGATACCTTCACATCCCTGCATAGCTCAACAATTTCTCACTGCAGGTAAATTCTCGGTCCAAATGGCTTGTTCCTCCGCTCCTGCAAGTCCATGCGCACGGCTCCTCCATGATCACTACTGCCGATTTTACTACGGGCCAGAGCATCTCTTCACCTTACTTCAGTTTTGAAGTGAATGTCTACTCCATGATTAAGTCAGGTGCGTTCATGAAAACCGATGGATGCTTGGTAAAGTGCGGAGTAACTCTTTCAGATGCCATCGTAAATAGTGTAATTTTACGAGCGTGGGAGTGCATACTCCCTACTTTACGCAACCGGATTCGAAACAAAACTTGTAAGTTAACCCATACGTACATTCGTACAGCATTCTCCCGTAATGAAACTGGCCACTGGTCCCTCCGTCCACTCTGGACTCCCCCGGTCTGGCAAAGCGCACCCCGCCTCGCCGGTGACCCGTGCGCTGGCGGCCGCCCACTGGCTGAGCGTGGCTGTGATCCCCTGCAGCACGCAGCGCCACCGAACACACCCTCAGTCTCCGCCCGCGTGTCGCAGAACACGATTTGGCCTCGAACTCCGTACGGTCTCGGATACTCCACCCGTTAGGCTGTATATGAGTGAAATCCTTCAGGAGGCACTATTGTTTTTTGTATATTTCGTTTGGATGCACAGCGGCCTCAGGCTGCAATTGCTTCGCTCGCGTTCTTCGTACTATGTCAGCACGGGTGCCGATTTGTATTCTTTTGTGAGTGCTCTGGCCCCCCTAATGTTGAGTTGGCCCTTCATGTTGGCTTAGGCACCCCAATATGTTTTCCTGAAATATTGTAAAAGCGTAGGGAGACGTTGGCCATCACACAACGACTACCTCCTTTGACCCCCTCTCGTAGTGACGTCACCATGGAGGGTGCATCGGGCTAACTTGACCCTCAACCTCAAAATTATTTTATCAAGTTGGTAGGTAACTTAAAACATTGACAATGAACCATTTTACATTTGACGGTTTTTGTTTAATCTGTTCAACGTAAGCCCAGATGCTTTTTCTCCCCGCCACTCAAACATGATATTAGCGCTGCTAATTCACCCGTCTCGTGGCCTCTTTGATGCCAAGCGACATTTGGTCCTCTACCTATGGCGGGTTGCGAACCTAACATTGTTTCACTTGAAGCTGAAAGCTTAAGTGCTTTATTGCTAGGGCTGATGAGAAACCAAAATGGGGTGACATAGCTTTTGTGGCGTGGCATCGTTAGTCCAGATTATAGGCCCACTTCAGCTACAAACTGATAAACAATACGGAAAGCGAAAGTGTCGCTGAGACCGGTTTTTTTATCAAATTCCGTGCTGAGCATGCATTATTGCCAGCACTCCGAACTCACCATCTCATTATTGTAATGCACGTTCAACGGGCCCACTTTGCCTTGGTATTTTACCCAAATAGTACGAGAGGACTTGTACCGTGCCACACGACTACATGACTGCCGGCTGCCCTGGCTGACACTGTCAAGCCAAAGGTCAAATGACCCCCTTTCACGAGCTAAATGCGAACACCTATTCTGGAAGGCGAAACTGTCACCACGCGTTTCGCCACGTCACGAATGTAATCAGTGTAACTTCAGCCCTCTATCGAAGATGGCCTTCCGCCACGACGTTTGGTGTGTTTACACGGCAATATGGAGCTTTGTGCATGGTACATTTTTTAATATAGGCCCTTGAGCATTGTACGCATTGAAGCCCACTGGCTCGGAGAAACGCAATGTCTATAAACTGCTCCTTGACTTCCTTTGTCAAATAATATCACCAGTGACCTAGAAAGCAATAAAAAATAATCAAACTCCGATAAATGCATGATGCCATTAATTGGAACAATGGTAGTATTTCTGACATCCTTACGCTTTTCGGTGCCATATAAGAGATAGCTTGAGTTTCAACTGGAATGTTGTGGTCTATGTGTTCTTTTTTGGCTGCGTTTTGTTACTGTTGTAGTATTCCGCGGTTTATACAGATACGGTGTCGCCATCAGCGTCAGCCCCTTCCATACCACGCAGCAAATGCTGGCAACTCTTTTGCCTTAGATCCCTTTCACTACGAGCTTGTTCATATTTATCACAATTCACTTTTACTCATCTATATTACTCGTCCTTTTAATTATTTTCCTATTCGACTTTTCACCCTGTGTCCTTCGACTTTTTGTCCTTTGACTGTTTCCAATTCAAATTTTGTCCCTGTCGACTGCTATTCATTTCGAATATTTGCCCCGTTTTTCCCGATTCCGCTTTTATCTCTGTCGACTTGCATCTCTTCCGGCATTTTGTTTTTGGACTTTTTCGTTTGGCTTTTTCCAATCGACTTGCATCCCCTATGATGTTTAATGCTTCGATTTCTTCCGGTTCGACTTTATTGCCGTTCACGAGTATTCCATTCGACTACTTTGCAGTTCGCTTTCCCCGTTCGACTTTTTCCCATACGACTCTTGTCCGGTAACCATACTTGGTATGTACTCGTCGCTCGTACAAAACTCACCAGGTGGGCACTTAAGCCCTCTCGTGGCTGGTGCATGTTGCCCTGTTAAATTGAGCGTCGCGGGGATATAAGATAATGCAAGAATGAAGAAAGAGGGGCGAAGGCTACTTTTTCAACTTTCGACACTGTATTAAAAACACACGAATTAAAGTGCTCCGTATGCGACAGAGAATGCTGCCATTTGATTGTAAATAATCTTGCACATTTAAGTCAAATGTCTTTTTGTAGGCTGGAACTTTGTTATGTCGCTGAATAACTAGCCCTCACAAAACTAAACTGGTTTAAATGATGTGGCTTTTATCCATTGAACGGAAATTTACGCTCACCTTAGGCGCGCAGCAACAATTTAGAAATAAGTCAGCATGTCATGATCCTATAGATAGGAGAGCAGTATTAGCATTATTCGTCGGAAAAAAAACAGGGGAATGGATATACAGTTTGGTTGATATTTCGGCAGAACGCCTTTATCGAAACAAAGCAGAAGTCGATAATATACAAAACTATATCTATAGTTATATAACTATATCTGCAACTAAAAACTGTATCAGCAAACGATATCTCCATTCTCCTGGTTTTTCCAAGGAATAAGGCTAATACTACTGTCATATATATGCGAATAATATTCCTCGCCAGTGCCCTGAACAACTTACATGTCATGATCCTATTAAAAGCACTCGCATTTACTACACCACAGTTAGAAGCTTGCCTTTCCTGTTATGTACAGAGCGCATTTATGCATCTTTTTGATGCAGTTGCTTGTAGCCTCAATCCAATGCAGATAATGTTCAATGTGAATTGTTTGTTATGAGTTATTGAATATAATTGAGTATTGTTGAGCAATATTGGTTATGGTGATGTTGATTACAATGGTTGATTCTATGACCTAGTTGAAGTAAAGAATCGTGGTGCGACGCCAAATTCGGACCAAAATTTGCGTATGCCGCTCGCGATTTACGCAAAAACCATAACTTAAATAAACCTCCGCTAGAACTGCCCCTTTAGAACTGCCCCCGCATGAGTACTACGCTGCTTAAATTAGATACTATTTTTAGGTATACTTAATTTAAGATATTAACTATCTTTTGTCAAAACGAAGTGGACTAGATCCGTCGAGAAAAAAAAATGGAGGGGGAGGAGATATTGTCGGGCTGTTGGCCCGGCCCCCAATCATTTACAAAAATTGACACCCCTGCATGCCAGTGCAACAGAGCCAGCCAAAGAAGATGTACGCCATCGCTGAGACGAGGAAAGTACATGAATCTGGAACACAGAAGAGGCTATCCTCGTCGCCGTGCACCAACCAGTTTACCGATCTACGTTGTCACCAGACCAGAGTGCGGTGTTATCAAGCCCAACAGCTCTATCACTGCCTCGCCGTCCGCCCGCTGGCCGGCGCGGGGCGAGCTCGGCTGACGTCTGCGCCTGCGCCGACAGACGCTGGACCGGGACGAGGGCACGGGCGGCCGCGAGGTCTGGGAGCTCTCTGTGGAGGCCTGGGACGACGGGGGCGACGGCATCGGATCCACGGTGCCCTTCAAGCTCACGCTGACCGACATCAACGACAACGCGCCGTACCTGATCCAGGTCAGTGGCGTCCAGGATGTGACCAGGCCTCCGGATCTGCAGGAACTAGATCACCGATCTGGTCAGCGTTGTCCGGCCACACTTCCAGCCGCGACAGATCCGGCAGGTCATCGGGTTAGGAAAGGCACCATCGGTAATCCACAGCGACGGTGCAAGAGACTGCCAGGACCAAGATCGAAACCAAAACCTCGCTGAACCACTGAACAGGGACCTACTCCGTCTAGGTGTGACCATGTTGCTAGTGTCTTTATATCTTCATGCAACTCATCGTCCGAATTTTAGTCACCCGTTGTGACGCACGCCAGCATCCCCGTCGGACCGGTTGTCCCAATGGACAATCGATGGTAAAAAATTCGAGAGACATCTCGGGACACTATGAATGGACTTCAGGCGTGAGAAGCGAGCACGTAGACAACATGAGGGCGGGCCCAATGGAACATCAGACTGACGCGCGGATAACCGAGTTGAATTCTCGGCTATGGCTGTCTCCGCTGGACACTGATATGACTTCAGCGGGTGCAGCACTTCGTAAACAGCTGTCCAGCATATTCCGTGTGTCCTACACAAGTGAGACGAGCTACGTCTACCGATATTTGCTATGGGCGGTGTAAGAACCTAAGTCATCGGATGGCACCTCGGTGAAACATTCCAGAGTCAAATTAGCCGTTCCGTGGCCATGACGATTTCATTACTCTGGTTGCATTACTGTGGCATTGTACCGGTCGCGAGACCTCAGCTGTGATGCCAGGTGTTGTCCGCCGTGCACAACTGCTCCCTTTGTCGCCCTCAACAGAGTGACGCGTCGATTCCCGTCATCATGGAGAACAAGTCACCGGACGACATTGTTATTTCGGTGGAGGCAGATGACTACGACGACCACGAGAAGAACGGACCGCCGTATACCTTCTGGCTGGATCCGAGTTCATCGGCCGACATACGAAACAAGTTCGGTGTCCGGACCGCCGGTAAGACGGCGCCGTGCTCTTGGCGACCGAGGAACGAAGCTGTTGCCTTCGGCGGCGGTCAGCGGTCCGTTCCCGTCCACGCGAACGCGACATTGCGGCGCTGCGGTGCCGTCACCAGTGGCTTGCTGGTGGCTCGGGCTGGAGGGCGACATTCAGACCGACGGCGGTCAGACCGGCGCTTCGCATTCCGTCTGAGTCCGGCTGACAGTTGAACCTCGTGGCCGGGACCGCCGTAGGTAGTCTTGCGGAACGATGAACACCGCCGCCCGTGCTGCTGTGCTGGAGCCTGATGAGACGACTGCCGTGCCTTCAGGCCGTTCTGATCTATCAAAGGCTGCTTCGGGGCAGGTAAGCTCTGCTAGTGTTCTAGTCCCTGTCACGTTACTCAGAGCTCTGAGTGGTCATACCATGTGCCGAGAGTGTTAAAAGAGTGTTAAGACGAGCGCGCTCAGAGCGGTGCTGCGCCACCAGGCAACGGGAGCCGAGCCGAGATCCGTCCACTGGTGAAGCTGGACCGCGAGCAGCAGAAATCGTACACCGTGCCGGTGGTGATCAGCGACAACACTCTGGCCGAGCCCGCAACGCTAACCGGCACCAGCCTCTTTACCATCATCGTCGGCGACGAGAACGACAACGACATGAAGCCGGGATCCAGTGTCATCGACGTCTTTAACTTCGAGGTTCGCGGTGGGGCACCGGGCCCGGGAGGAGCGCACAGGGGAGCTGACTTGACCTTAGAGGGGATTGGCTTTCAGGAATGGTGAGCGGCGCCGAGTGGGCAGATGCCTAATTTTCGTCCTGCAAAGGTGTGTGGCCTGTGGCTTGATGAATGTTTCGTTCTTTGTGCGATCGAAGTCGTATTTACGGTTAAGGAGCGGCTGGGAGAACGTGAGTAATATAGTGGAGCCTGGCACCACTTTATCTGATGCACACCCATATTCTAATGGAAAATACTGCGCCCTGTGCTCGGCAATGATCCAACGGTAACAGCATCACGATGAAAATTGCGGCATTACTTGCGACGCAAAAAGCCAGTGCTGAAAAGGTCAAGAATGAAGTGGTTTGTGCGCGATACAGCAGATGGAACCGACGGAGTCTGCGCCAGTGACGTGCTCGACGTCGGCGTGCAGGGCCAGATGCCGGAGACGGTGGTGGGCCGCGTGTACGTGGAAGACCCGGACGATTGGGACCTGCCCGACAAAACCTTCTCCTGGGCCAACGCGCAGACAAGCGGTTACTTCGAGCTAGACGCGGACACGGGCGACATCACCATCCGCTACGGCACTCCGAACGGCTCCTACCCGCTCAAGTTCCAGGTAAGTCGACGCACGATTTCGACGCCACTCCTGGCGCGGACGGGATCGATGTGGCTGTAGTTCTCCCCGAGCGAGGTACCGCACGACGAGCGCCAGCCAGTGGGCAGCAAACATCTCGCCCACACCCCCACTGGCGTGCCGGCGTCCCTGTCGACAGACGCCTCTTTTTCCGAGGGTCTCCCTCTGCGCTGGCCTCCCTCCCGACAGAGGTCTCTGTTCTCCGATGGCCTCCCCGTGCCGGCCTCCCTCCCGACAGAGGCCTCTGTTCTCCGAGGGCCTCCCCGTACCGGCCTCCCTCCCGACAGAGGCCTCTGTTCTCCGAGGGCCTCCCTCCGTATTTGTCTTGCTCACGGCAGAGGCCTCTGTTCTCTGAGGGCCTCCCCGTACCGGCCTTCCTCCCGACAGAAGCATCTGTTCTCCGAGGGCCTCCCTCCGTGCTTTTCTTGCTCCCGGCAGAGGCCTCTGTTCTCTGAGGGCCTACCCCCGTACCGGCCTCCCTCCCAACAGAGGCCTCTGTTTTCCGAGAACCTCCCTCGCGACAGTGACCTCTATTCCCCGTGATCTCGCCGGCACTGTCTGATGACGGGATGCTCCTCTGGATCGGGCCCGCTACTGGCGCGAGGCGGGGTCGCGGCGCCCGTCTGTGGTCGCACGAGGCGCCACTCACTCCCCTCCCGCCATCGGCCCGCAGGTGTACGACAAGAAGTTCCGTAGCACGGTGGACGCGGATGTGACGGTGACGGTGCGGCTGCTGCCGCGACAGGCCGTGCTCCAGTCGGGCTCGCTCCGCATCGGCGGTCTCACCGCCGAACAGTTCGTGTCGCCCCCCGGGAAGAAGGTCAGGATCCGGCCGCGCTCTGAGGCGGCGGGGCGGCGAAGGAGCACAGTGCTTGGATGACGCTTGTACTCAAGGGTACACGTGTAACTGGAACGCCCAAAAATGTCCCAGGATCCCCTAGGCAGGGAGCCCTGTGGGATACGGATCCACCTTTAGGATCTCGACACGTGTATGCTCAGGAACATCGTCTCTGTTAGAATTTTGTTAGATCTATGACACAGTTATCTCCCAATTAAGCTTCTGGACCATATAAGTTGCTGTAAGCGCGCCATGTGTGCATAAAAAATGAGGGCAAAAATAACCAACGATTTAATTTTGGCAACCCCGATCGGTGTTTTCTGGTCGGTCTGCCCGGCCCGCGGCCCCAGTTGACCCGGCAACGCTGGTCGCCTGCAGACGCCGTCCATGTACCAGAGGATGATCTCGGAGCTAGCTGCTATGCTGGGCACCCCGCCGGAGAATGTCGACCTGTTCGGGGTCCAGAACAATGGCGCCGGCGGTGTGGACGTGCGCTACGCCGCCCACGGCTCTCCTTACTACCGGAGCGAGAAGATGGACGGCGTTGTGAGCCAGCACAAAAAGCAGGTGGGAAGACGGTCCACTTGTTGTCCGCACGCTGTCCGCGCTCCGTGGCCAGCGTGCATGGCTCATGTGAATACATTTAACGAAGTATTCGCCTGTCACGTGGCCAGTGTGCATGGTTCATGTGAATGCATCTAGCGAGATATTCAGCGTTCGTTCCCATCACTTAACCGCATGGGCGTACCGTTGGTCGCTCCACGGGATTTGTAACATTTCCATGGTATTCGTGATTACATGTTGAAGAAACCCCCCCCCCCCCCCACACACACACTATTGCATAAACTTGTTCGTGTTCTCAGTTGGAGGAGGTGTTTAAGATCGAGATTCAGCAGGTTGGCATCGACGATTGCATCTATGAGACGACCTGCAACAGCAGCTGCTTCTCCAGCCTGACCATTTTCGAAGATAAGGTTTACAAGGTCCAGACGAACATGAGCACAATCATTGGTGAGTGATGAAGGAGACACTGCCCATGTTTGACACGCGACGAGGCCCGGCTCGACTTGCGGCTGCAGCTACGGCCTCTGCACGCTGATGTAGTCGCTGACGTTCCGTTAAGGGTTCGCGACGTACGCAGTGCATCCTTTCAAGAACATGAAGTCTTATGACCGGGGTATGAATAAAACGCAGCCTGACGCACGTCATTCAACTGTTCAGGAAACGTCAGGCAACCGCACGGTCTTCAGTCAACACACGCACACGCACACACGCACACGCACACGCACACGCACACGCACACGCACACGCACACGCACACGCACACGCACACGCACACGCACACGCACACGCACACGCACACGCACACACCACACGCACACGCACACGCACACGCACACGCACACATATTTAAACATTGTATAGTTGTTTTTAGATTGTAATAATATGTATATACATTTTGTTGTCTTAAGCGGGATCGATCTCATCTCTAGTAGACCAAAGGCGTTTTCAGTCCAAGTATTTATATCATTATTCGGACACCAAAATGGACCTTTTCAACCAAGATAGGGTATATTAATCACAGGAGCATATGGGCATGAAGTCATCCAAATTTTCCACGCCGCTAGAGCATATTCGGTAAGAGTACACGGCGGCTATAATCCAAAGGGCAGGTAGCAGTCGTCGGTAACAACAATGGCCACAGAAGATGTGTCAACATCGTGAATAGCAATGTTGACAAGGACATGCCGACGTCATGTATACCAACGACAGCGGAGGGTAGAAGAACGGGAGTCGGAGTCAAAGGAAGCGGAGGGAGAGGAGTCAGCTACGTCGTGAATATCAACGAGAGCTGAGGGTAGAAGAACCGGAGTCGGAGTCAAAGGGAGCGGAGGGAGCCACCTACGTCGTGAATATCAACGAGAGCTGACTACCTTCCCCGCCGCCGCCCGGACCACGACTGACCCGCTGCCGACCCCGACCCCAGGCGTGACCTACTCCCCGGCCTGTGATTGGCCGGGTCACGTGACCACGTAGCCTCGAGAACAGACGCGAAAATAGAAGATCTCCTTACAAGAGAAAGGCCTCCGCTCTTGATATTCGAACACAGCACGAACTACGTACGCGCTCACAACGCGGGCGCCCTAAACCACTGTGCCACCAGGACAATTACAACGTTGTTGGGACGGAGGGCAACTAATCACGTACGTAACAACTATCATACACATCACACTTAACAGCACTCTGAGTATTTAGCGCGCACATTAATTGGCGATGATCGCTTAAATGCAGCACATGTTTGGCGCTTTTCATCGCTGGTAATGGTTGGTAATGGTGGTTGCCGGCAGGTGGCACACGTGTGACTCCTGCAATCGTTGGCGATGATCGGTGACGGTTATTGCCGGCAGGTGTTCGGCCGGCGATGCAGTACACGTGTGACTCCTGCAACCGTTGGCGATGATCGGTGACGGTTATTGCCGGCAGGTGTTCGGACGGCGATGCAGTACACGTGTGACTCCTGCAATCGTTGGCGACGATCGGTGACGGTTATTGCCGGCATGTGTTTGGATGGCGATGCAGTACGCGTGTGACTCCCGCAATCGTTGGCAATGATCGATGACGGTCATTGCCGGCGTGTGTTTGGACGGCGATGCAGTGCGCGTGTGACTCCTGTAATCGTTGGCGATGATCGGTGACGGTTATTGCCGGCAGGTGTTCGGCCGGCGATGCAGTACACGTGTGACTCCTGCAACCGTTGGCGATGATCGGTGACGTTATTGCCGGCAGGTGTTCGGACGGCGATGCAGTACACGTGTGACGCCTGCGAGGAGCCGCCTCGACCCGCCGACTGCCTGAACGGCGGCCGGCCGAGTACTAGCAGCCCGCCCAGGTGCCGGCCCCGGTCACGCTCCTTGTGTATCAATACGCTAACGAGTTATACCGCGGTTCAAATGAGCTTTGCTTCGATTATGAGAAATGTTTACAGCCATAAGCAGCTCAGACTGACTGAACTTGGCTCGGTGGCAGTCAACACATGGCCCGATGGCAGTCAACACATGGCCCGATGGCAGTCGACACATGGCCCGATGTCAGTCGTCACATGGCCCGATGGCAGTCGGTCGGACCTCCGTGCTTCGCACACGCTCGGTTTCGCTTTAATCGTATCACTGACCAGCCGAAATTCCTCTACCAGCTGCGAGTGCCCGGCAGGCTTCGACGGCCCCCACTGCGAGAGCCTCACCATTCACTTCAAGGGCGACGGGTACGCCTGGCTCCCACATCTTACGGCCTGCAACGCTTCCCACCTGAGCTTCGACATGACCACCAGCACCGACCAGGGTCTGGTGATGTACAACGGACCCATGGGCGAGCCGACTGCCAGAGTTCAAGGTGAGAGGAGCGCCCACGGACCACGGCGCGCTGGTCTTGTACAACAGGACCGTGAGAGGACGGACCACTAGCATACGGAACACCACAGAGCGTGAGCGGGGCACAATTCTGGTCATGAATATCACGTCAGTGATAATTGCCTCCATTCCGTCGTACATGCCCGGATTTGAATCCTGGCAGAACAAAAAGCCAGTGGATAGCTGACAATAGGACGGTTGACTAGCACTGTGCATGGCGATAGAAGTATTGGAACACGATTAGCGATCTTGTATGCGCAGTAGGCGGTAGCAGAGCAACAGTATCCGCGTACGGTGCGCTGTCTGGCCTGCGAGGAATAGCGGTGCTCACACAGGTGCCGAGAATGGTGGTTTGCGCGTATATTGCTATCAGAAGCGCAGATTAGACCATTCAGTTATGATTACACCTGCCACGAAGATCACCGTAATCTGCGTACATCACGCTTGGCTGCACGTCTCGAAAGCAAATGTTTAGGTGCAACAGTACTCTGGTTACGTAAAAGTATGGCAGATTAAAGCTAAAAAAAAACAAGTCACAACGTATTTCTGGTTGTGATCACGCTGCTTTCAACTTGTCTCCCGATCATCATCGTCATTTTCCTTCCGATCTCTCTGGAGCACGCCATAGTTGACTTTAATTTTGATCCCGGATGCATGACTCTAATGTGGGTGGGGCTGCAGACTTTTTCGCCGTGGACGTGCTGAAGGGTCGTCCTGCGCGTGTTCATGAACTACGGCACCGGCACAGCGGTGGCCAGCCCTCAGAGCGTGGTGGACGATGGCCGCCGACACCATGTGGACATCAGCTGGGACACGCAGGTGGGGTGCGCCCGTGTGACGCCGGCCGGCGCGCCACGCGCCAGTCCGACGTCTGCTCTATCATCTTGAGAAGGCAGGCAATAGGTTGTGACAAGACGGATACCGATGTCTGGCTAGATGCATGAGTCCCGGTCCAGCGCCTGCAAGTGCCGCTAGCGCCGCGGCCAACATCGTTGAGCAGAGCTCTCCGTATCCAGGCATTTCATTTATGCGGTGCTGTATACTCGCTGTTCTGCATGCGTCGCCGTGTCTGGGTGCTGTACATGCGCTGACCTGTCCACATCGCCGTGTCTCGGCGGCCGGCAGCACGTGACCGTGAGGGTGGACAGCTGCGTGGGTGTGGCGGCGTGCCAGGCCACGGCGCCGGCGCCGGCGGCGGCCGACACGCAGAACGCCTTCCTGAACGTGGCCACGCCGCTGCAGCTGGGCGGCACCGCCGTGCCCATCAGCTCGGTCAGGGATTTCATGGCCTGGTTGGAGGTGCCCGGCTCCGAGGGCTTCTTCGGCTGCCTGGAGAACGTGACCTTCCTGAGCACGGTGCGTGCAGCCGTCTGCTCCAGCGTTCGCTGGCGCCGGCTCCTCGGGCGGCCGCACCGGCAGGAGCACGTTCCGAATTGGTGTATATCTTAATGGTCCGCGTCCCTCGCCTGGCTGCAGCTACTATTGGACACCGCGGGGCAAAGAGCTGACGTTATTTCCTCTGTTAAGGCAGGTATCTTATCACTATGGATGTAGGCTCGGGGAGGGGGCTGGGGGACATGCCCCCAATTTTCACAACATGGGATTGTTTCCCTCGTCAATATTGTTCACAGAAGGCACGTTTCTTATGTTTTCACGATTATTATGCCAGTTTTAGGTCAAGTTGCTCTCTCTCTACACTTCCCTTTGACCCCTCCCATCCTAATTGTCCGCTTTCCCAAAGATCTGGTTACATCCATGCGTATTAAGTGCGTCTGGTCTGTTTTATGGGGGTTGGGCAGTACAATTTTTTTCCCTAAGTGGTGCAAAACAACAAAAGCAGTAGCATCTGTGCGATGGGGCTTTGGTTCACTGCACCGTGGCGATGCAGCGCTATTTTAGCATGGATAATGCGCTGAAATAGAACACGGTGTGCTTCGAGCGCGCATGTGGCCAAACGGCGTGATAAAACCACAGGAATGCCATAGCACGGTCGTACGGATCACAAAGTAACCATTGAAGGGAATGTTTCACATTTGAAGATATTAAAGCAACCATCAGATATGATGAAACAAGCTCACTTGTAACCATTGGCGATTTTTTAAGTGGAAGGCTGCTCTAGACAGCACAGTTATCCGTTTAGCAAACATACTCCTCAATGTGCCATGGTTTGATTATGTCATTGAAGTTTGCACAGCATTGATGGAGGGCCAATTGACCACCGTTTTACCTGTAAATTGCGCTCACGAAGGCCAGATATAGACGCCTCGACAATTTTATTTTCTTGGCCTTGACCGCCGCATGGATTATGGGGTGGCAGCATTTGAATGACGTTATCATGAGATCATGAATGCCAGGGTGACCTTGTAATACTTTCCCCAACGCACCTTTCCCCATCACTGCGGGCGCGTGGCTAAGAAACTTAGATCCTAGGAAGGGCAGGATCGTAAACAACGCTGAAAGGTCTTCAGGATGGTTTTTCAAGTAAAACCCCCATAAAGACGTGGAACACTCCCTTCAAGTGTTAGAATATCTTGCTAGTACCTACGCAAGAACGAATAAAATAGTTTCGGACGTGACTGAATTGTTTTAAACACCAGCCACTAACATCTAAAAAGCAGTCTGTCGTACCACGGCTGCTTGCATGTTCCTGGCCTTACAACGCCTCTTTCCAGAGGCAGGTTCAGAACAAAGGAATCCGATAGAATATAACGATGCTCTCGATTTTATAGGTGTACGACCTGAGTGACCCTGCTTATGGTGAGGAATATAGCAGCTACTGCGATGAGAACATCGAGCCTGTGCCAGTCATATACGCCACGTCGAGCTTCTTGGCCGTCATCCTGTGCTGCCTGCTGTTTGCCCTCAGTGAGTGCATCTTCCCATACGACTGTTGTGTTCTTGCTCGCCAGTTCTGTCTGTAAGCCATCAGCGCTCCTGCTCAGTGACCACCTGTCTCGGGGGCAGCTGACGCATTGCCGGTCTGTGCCCGCCTGTCCTGCCCGTGGCTGTCAGTCAGCGGCCTGTTGCGCGTGCGTCAGTTCTGTTGGTGGTCGGGTTCGTGATGCGCCGGAGGAATCGGAAGAAGGGATACAAGGCGGCTGACACAGAGCTGCGTCAGACGATCGTCAACTTCAACGAAGAGGGCGATCACGAGCAGGACAACACCAAGTTTGACCTGAGCAGGCTGCAGCTGACCGACGAACAGAAGAGTAAGTCAAGCCGAGCGTTGTGCTCGGCCGCCTATAGGTCGCTGCACAGACCGCGACGACGTGCTCGCGTTCGTGGCGTCATAACATGTAACCACGTCACGCTTCTTACTTCCCCGCCACTTACTTAAACCGCCGCTCAACGGCCGGCGCGACTCCGATAGTGTAATCTTCGGTTGCCCACCGAAACAGCACGGTCACCGTCCGTCCCCTGCCGAATGCTATCACTGATGTGCTCAGCACTGACGTTGAATAAAGCGGCTGCCGTGATGTTTCATGCATGGTGAACTGGCTGGAATCGGTAGTTAAGTGCGTCAAGTTTTTAGGTGGAAGTTTGATGATCATTATCTACCAATCTTTCCCCTAAACGCATGTCGAGAAGATGCCCACGCGACTCGAGGAATGCCGTGGACGCCCGACATGCATCATCGAAAAGGGACGACTATCTACCAAGCAGTCCACAATGAGGGAGGCAGAACAGAGCTGTGTTGGTAGCACGCGAGAGGGCATAAACACTGTTGTGCATGGTCTCACTCGCCGAGCCTCTGCGCCGCGCCAGATTTGCCTTCCCTGACCTCGTCCCCTGCGACTTCGCAGAGGAGACGGGCCGACGGGCTGCAGGGCGCCGTGGCTGTGCCGCCGCCATCCACCCAGGACGCCCTGAACGACAAGCCACCGGCGCTGGACGACAAGGACGGCATCGGGGCCCAGGATGACCTGCGGAACTATGCCTACGAGGGAAACGATAGCTCCGCCGGGTCACTCTCCTCCATCAACTCAGGTGCGGTCTCCACAAACTCATGGGTGATGCGACACCCTCAGGTCTTGTACGACCTCCCAAACTTAGGCATGGCACTATTCGGCTCGGGTTTGACTTCTTACAGGTTAGATGCAGCTTCCCTCGCCTCTGGTGTCACCTCCCTCACCTCAGGTGTCACCACCCATAACTTAGATATGACCTTCCCGAACTCAGGTGTGATCTCCCGCCATTCGGGGGCGACCTCTCTCAACTCAGTTTTTATCTTTCTGATCTCAGGCGCGATCTTCCTCAACTCAACTGTGACCTCCAAACGTCCTGATGTAACCCGTCACAACTCTAGTGTAATTTTCCTCAACTCAATGGTGACCCTCAACATGGTGTGTTTAATTGGGAAATAGCCGGAGCAAAGTATTTCAGCGTCCTGCCAACATATGGGTCTGGGTGCATGGGATATAATACGGTCTTATTTTAAGGCTTAATACGGTGTGTATTACCTCTACAAGGGAGACGGCAGCGCCTCTAAGTCATTCTTCTCCATCATCTCAGGTGCGGCCTCCACCAACTCAAGTCATGTGAGCTCCCTGAACTCATGCGTGACATTCCTCAACCCAGATATGACCTACCTCAACACGACGGAAGCACTTGCAGCTCAGGCGTGACCTACCCCCGTTTTGATGTGACCTCCCTTAAGTCAGGGCCGTCGCATGGGCTGTCTGGGTTCTTTCCACTGTCCGCTGCAGGTCTGGACCTCCCCAGCTGCCCGCCGCAGGGCCCTCCACCACTGTCCGCTGCAGGTCTGGACCTCCCCAGCTGCCCGCCGCAGGGCCCTCCACCCTGTCCGCTGCAGGTCTGGACCTCCCCAGCTGTCTGCCGCAGGGCTCTCTCCTCCACTGTCTGCGGCAAGTCTGGTCCTCCTCCACTGTCCGCGGCAAGTCCGGTCCTCCCCCACTGTCCGCGGCAAGTCTGGTCCCCCTCAGCTGTCTGCAGGTCTGGTCCTCCTCATCTGTCCGCGGCAGGTCGTTTCCACTTTAGCCGACCTTCCTGAAATTCCTGCGACAGGTCTGGTTGGTTAACTACCAAGACGCCTGTAACAGCCCTGGTCCTCCTCGGTTCCCTCCGGTCGTCCTCAGCAGGCCCGTGGCCATGCACTGCCCCTGTCAGCTGACCAGCGAAGTCGGGATGGTCCGGCTAAGCTGACGCTCCTTGGACGCGTCCGACAGGCACCACCGACGGGGACCAGAACTTCGACTACCTGCAGGAGCTGGGCCCCCGGTTCCGCCGTCTGGCCGACCTGTACGGCGACGAGGCCGACATGAGCAGTAGCGACGGGGACGACGGTCCCCTGCTGGTGCCGGGGTCGGAGCCGACCGAGTCGTGGTGCTGAGCTTGTCGCAGGCACTGGCGGCACACCACCGCTCTGCACCCAAAACAAGACAACGTGACGCAACAGACAGCAGATTTCGTTAGACAGCTGTGGTCCAGGTTTCAGCAGCCATGGGCCAAATTGTCATGAACTTGTCGCATCTTTAGTACCCGTCCCGTCCCCCATCGTGCTAGTGTAAGCCGACAGCTCTCTTTGGAATTCCGAGCCGCTATTGACAGCTTTTCTTCGAGCCATTCTACAACATTTTGAACATTCCTAAAAACATGTAAAAAGGATGGTTCAAACAAAACTGGACATCAGCCGACATTGCGTGCACTACAATTGATCGAGGCCATCGACCTCGACAAAGCCAACGGCCGTTGAACCTCGAGAATTCCGCGTTATCGATCAAAAGAACGTGAAATTATAGCGCTTTAATTTTCCCTAGTCCCGGCAAAGTGTTATGCACGAAATATCGACAGAGATACCTTTTTTTCAAACCTCTGTTTACTTTATTTGCCGGAAGGTGAGAATGTTGTCGAGTACCATGTTAAATTAACGCCTGAAGCATCCTGCATTTCGTGTGCCATTGATCCCAGTAGGGGAGCGAGGCCATTTGTCTATATCACTTTCCTATGAATCCAACAAGCCGACTTAATCGGCAGGTAGCATGGCAATCTGCCTTCGCTTTGGACCGACCAGAACGTAGTGTAGTTTTTATAATAAAAAAATGGAACGACACGCTTCGTCGCTAAACGATACGGTTCCATACGCTACCTTTGTGAAGCGTCAGCGACTGCATTTCACACGTGGGCTCGTAACACACACAGCGTATAGAAAAATGACGAATGTTTACCTGCTGTGTTCCACTACATGATTACTGATTAAGTGGCCCATGTGTATGTCGTGCTTAGCGCCGCCTGCTGCCCATCATCACCTGTACACGGACCTGCACTCTACCAACCGCTGCATACCTGCGATAATGCGGTAAATAAATGGTTTAGAAGTCATTTGTTCAGTGGTTATGTGATATGCGCTTTGGAAACGGCACCTACCGTGCGTTGACATCACGTTGGACGGTGATGCAGACACCAAAGGTTGTCGACGCTGGTGTTAAGCAAGGGAATACTTGTAGCGTGCTTCAACTGATCTCGCTTATTTTTGCTAGGACTTCGCCACACTCAAGTGGTCTGTTGACAACAAATGCCAGTGATTGCCGTGTGCTGAGGTTCCTCACGAATCGTAAATAAACTGAGAGGGCGCATTGCTGCTTGATACAGGCACTGCGTTCCACAAACATCGCCGTTTAACAGTCCTCTCTAATGCAATGATACTTTCAGCCCATTGTGGCGAGCCAGGGTCCTTACACAATCACTTGCATACACGGGTGTTTAAAGTTAACAACCTGGTGAGATAAATGGATGAGGTATGATACACTCAGCACAATGCAGCGGGGGTGTCAAGATCCAAACAGCAGACCACACCCAACGGCCACACTTGATTACCGCACAACCAGCAGACAAGACCCAACGGCCACACCTGACTCCCGCACAAACACCAGAAACAGCCAACGGTCACGCTTGACTCCTGCGCAAGCAGCGGGTAACACCCAACGGACACGCTTGACTCCTAATCAAACGGCAGACAAGACCCAACGGCCACACTTGACTCCCGCACAAACACCAGAAACACCTAACGGGGACGCTTGACTCCCGCGCGCCCGCGCAAGCAGCACTAAGACATAAAGGCATTAAGATATCCGGCCAACAATGAGCCACAAGGGCCCATCGAGGCTGGCTTTCCTCAGGTCCCGTGCACATCCTCGAAACTAATCACATGATCTACATAAATTTAGCTACAAATGAGATATTTAGAGCGATAGAGCTTGTCCAAAACGGTTTTTGAATTCTGCTAGGGAGGGGCTTCCTACAACTTCGTTTGTCAGCCCATTCCAACGGTTCACTACTCTTTAACCAAGTGACATCTGCCTCTTCATAGTTCTAATCCTATCTTTTGCTCAATGAAACTGGTTTTCTCTATGTCTCGGCCTAATTTCCGGTGCTCCATGTAGATCTACCTTGTCTATATATCCTTCGTAATCGTGTGTACCCCCATCAAATCCCGTCTAAGGCTGGGATATTTCAGTGAATTCAAATCCATGGCCCTTAGCACATCCTTATATTCTAAGTCTCCAATACCATTAATCATCCTAGTTGCTTTTAGTCGTACGCCTTCCAGTCAATCCATATATTTTTGGAAGCATGGGACCAAGCCCGTACACGATACTCTACGTGTGGTCTGACATAAGCTAAGTACAACTTTTTGGCATCATTACGTCTCCTGTGATGAACAGTCCTGTTTATAACTCCCAGCATCCGAAGTGCTTTGCTGCTACGGCCCACATCATTTTCACCCTTTAAATTCCTTGAAATTATAACCCCTAAGTCATTTTCTTACTTGATCTGGTCTAACTCCCGGCCTCTCATTTTATAGCTAATGCTCTCACTGCTTAAAATTGCCAAATGCATCACCTTACGTCTATCATAATTCAATGACATGTGCCACAAATAAGCCTAGTTCACTAGCCGTTTATTTAAGTCAAGTTGAATTTGGTTCATCCGATCAGTATTTTTGAACAGATGTACCAATTTAATATCGTTACCAAATTTTCGCTCCTTTCCTCCTAGTACTATCTCAATATTATTCACAAAAATAACACAGCAAAGGGCCCAACACCGACCCCTTTGGAACCCCAATCTCTACTAGCTCCCACTGAGATTTTGTTCCATTAACCACCACTCTTTGTTTCCTATCCAGCAGCCAAGCCCTTTCCCAGCCAAAAATATTATCTCAATGCCATGCAATATTTACTGATATAGCAGACGTTGGTGTGGCACCTTACCAAAAGCCTTACTGGAATCTAGATAGACAACATATAAACTATTGCTCATTAACAATATCAAAGTTAAGTATGTTAACAGGTAACACCCAACGACTACGCCCGACTCCTGAGCAAAATGCATCTTGAAAAACGCATCCCCTTTGCTTGCCGCGTGTCGTTTTTTTTTTAATGCTTGACATCTCAAGCAGCCCATGGGATCAGTTTGTCGGGTAATTTCCTCGTCGGTCCCATGCCTGCTGCGTTCGATAAAAAATTCATGAACAGGCCAGCAGCTCCAAGTGCCATGTACAATGCTTCCTGAGTATTTACGCCATCTCTTACGATTGGCGTTACCTATTACAGTTGACCCTATGCTCCCAGGTAGTTTATCTCGTCTAAGATGACAACTGGAGAAGACAGCACATGATGACGAATCGACCTTGCTTTTGGCGCCAGATTCGTCGACGTCGGAAAGATAAATCGATATGCAGCTTTGTGAAGCCCATGCCTGTAACAAGCCTTATGAGGTAGTGAGAAGTGTGCTCCGTGAAGCTACGGACGACGACCACGTCGTGCACCTTCAATGGTGGGCAGGGGGATTGGGGAATTGATCCGAAGGCTCAGATTAACACAGAGCCAACTTCTCGGTGATAGTTATCTCTGACCGAAATAGAGGCTGACACTGTCCCATGGGTCTCCAATCGACTCAAGGGACCCCCCGACTCATATTTGATGTCACGGACCTACGGGCGGGGGACGGCCTTATTGTGACCCACGACCAGTCCTTCGCGCCTTTCGGTCCCTTCAGTCCACCGATCGGGTCCTTGATCTTTGGCCCCAAGGGGCCTTTCGACCCCATTTCCGGCCTTCCCAAATAAAGCCCGTGACCAGATCGGGGACAACTCGCCGGCACAAGATCCCCTGTTGGCACCGCGAGCTCCTGACCGACGCAGAAGCCCCGATAATTGTTTCAGGGACCCAGGCCCGGGCCTGCTTGGGAATTGGGTTCCGGTGTTCCGACCGACCGGAACCAACTGTTCGGTGTTGGCGGTCTCTGCCCGACATAAGCGCCCGCTTTGTCTCAAGGGCTCCTTAATCAGTTGGCACAAGACACTCTGATAATTCAGGTCACGGACCTATGGGACAGGGCCCTCTTATTGTTATCTGAATCCCGACCGCGCCGGCCGGGCCCCTGAAGACTCTGACCAGCCCCTCGTGCCTTAGCCCCTCCAATCGGGCCCTTGATTATCGGTGCCAGTGGGCCCTCCAGGCTCTCTTCAGGTCTCCTCGAACACTGCTTCTGGCTGAATCGGGGCCCCTCGCCAATGCAAGGCCCCCTTTGGGCACTGTGGCGCCCCCTGACACACGCTGGGGCACCGCCTAACGTAAATCGCTGGCTCCAGCTTTGTTGCTGCTTGGAAAATGGGCCCTCCAGCCCCCCCCCCCCCCCCCCGACACGGAGCCGACTATGCGGCACTGGCAGTATCTGACCGACACATAGGCCCGTACCAATCACGGGCCCCCGATCGGCGCAAAGCGCTTTCTCGCTGGCATGGGAGTGCCCGGTCCTGCAGGCCCTGAATATGACCTCGGGTCGACCTTTCGGACCCCCGGGAACTCAATCGTCGGTTGCGAGGGGTCCGAAGGGTCCTCTTTAAACACAGGGGGGGGGGGGGGCACGTACCTCCAGTGCCCCTCACCCGTACCTGCGCCTCTGATGGTGGGGCTGTGGCGTTGTCAAAAAAAAAAAAATCGGTGGGGCTGATCCGTGGAAGACATTAACAGTTTTTAAGGGATGGTGCACAGTAAATGCAGTTTCCCAAACTCACCTTTATCCAACCAAACGAAAATAGCATGTTGAAGTATACTGCACTTAGCAGACGCAGGAAAAACAAGCATTGCCTTTTTGCGGCGATGTATTCAACTGACTACTGTAAAGTTACAACTGGTGCTCCCATATTTGAGAGCAGTAAAAGCAGGGTGTGGCTAAACCCTTGTCATTGACGTAAAAGCACCATCACACTTTAATGCCGCCAGCGGGGTTCCATCTTCCTCAAGAAACAAAAGTTGGAAGGATGGCAACGATGAAAACGTGCCAACGCTTCGATTGCAAGTCGATTTATGCGACTGTGTAATGCGCGGTGAGTCTCATCAACGTAGTTGATAAAGTAATAAACACCGTTTGCGTTCAGTATGGGAAAAATGAAACGATAAGATCTGTCCGCGCCTGGCATTCCAGCAGTGGGATTCAAAAGTGTCGCACCTTTCTGCCCGGTGTGGGGCCGCGCGGCGAGAAAGTGCGCAAACGCTGAACGTGACAGAACTACCACTTCACAAAACGCTGCCGCTTCTCCCATCAGCGAATGACACCGGAGCACATCGCCCATCACGCGACTGTGGCCAGCGAGCCGCGCCAGGTGAGAGCCGTGCGCAATCTTCCAGCGACACACAGGCTGCTCGGGACGGTGTTCAGCGAACCCGAGCATCACCAAACAAGGATTGTAATGCTCGGCAGAGTAATGCATCCCGTGAAAGGAAAAATGGGAGATCTAAAGGGAAATAGTTCTAAACTTCGTAAAGGGAAATAGTTCGTGACATAATACTCAAAAGAAATAGTTAATAGTCCGTAAAGGGAAATAGTTCTAACGTGCAAGGGGTTACGTTATTCTCACAAAACAGAGATCGTAATCCCAATGAACCACTAAGCATTCAATTGACATCACATCGCCACCGCCGAATCACCCTCCAAACAACCGGCGTCCGGTAAAGCGAAACAGCGGCCCGCAGGTAGGTTGATTTATTGCGGAGTGAGAAGCTCGATAACAGGTAATCCGAGGCGTGCAGGACGGCCAATAGGCCTACCTCCTATCGGGTGCCCCTGCCCTGCCCACGCCGGCCGCGCCGCTCCGTTGGCCCGCGCTCAGCGGAGCTCCTATCACAGTCGGAGTGCGCGTGTTTGTACTGGCGCGGCCGGGGCGGCGTTCTCCCACCGCCAGGCGCTGACGCTGACTGTCGGGTGACACAGAGCTCTCCGGGGTCGCGGCTTAGCTGACGCGTGGCTCTCCGTGGCGCACCGCCAGGCGCTGACGCTGACTGTCGGGTGACACAGAGCTCTCCGGTGTCGCGGCTTAGCTGACGCGCGGCTCTCCGTGGCGCACCGGCTTGGCGCTTCACCCATCGGAGACCGCCTTCAACTGCCAGATATTGGTGTTCGCTCGCTCCACGTTTACTTAGAAATCCCAAGCGTTCGTGCCTACTTGCAAACTCACCATCTCCGAGACCAGCGAGTCGCTTTTTATCTGCTCACCTGGAATATACAGAGCGGGAAAGTCAACAAACCCGCAAACGCGCGGCAATGACACTTGCGAACCGATCACTAAACCGACATTTTAACAAAGGCCAGTTTTAGCACGCAAGCGCCATAGAATGTCCATCAGGTATCATTAGTTGAGGTTACACGCAACGACAGCTGCAGCTGAGCTGAAGCGATACAACATCCTCATCGATGGCAAACCCATGACACGCCAGAAGCCGGTTGTTGTTTATTGGTGTTTTACGGCGCGTCGGCTTCAGTACTCACTTTGCACCCACCGCCGGAAGCGGGCATCAGCGCCCGCACTCCCCCGGCCGGCCACCGCCCGCCGCCATGCTTGGGGGCGCAGGATCGGCGGACAGCGCGCTACTCACCCTCGAGCAGCGTGGCCTCGTTGACGGGCACACCCGGCCGCAGCAGGTGCGTGAGCGGCGGCGCGCGCCGGCAGTGTCGCACCAGGAACGGGTGCGTGAGCAGGCGCGCGACGGCCGGCCGCCGCAGCGGGTCGCGCTCCACACACAGCCGCACCAGCTGGTGGAACCAGTCGGTGAAGCGGCGGCGCGGAGCTGCCTGCATCACCCGCTGGAAGCTGCTCAGCTCGCCCCGGTCTCCTGGCGACGGCGGCGTCCCTGTCAGGCCCGCCCGGCGCCGATCGCCGGCCACGCCCAACCGAGCTCGGCCCACGCCGCCGAGCTGGCCCTGCCCATCTGTGCGGCCACACACTGGGCGACCCGACAATGTTCACCGGCCCGACCTTGTCCTGTTCGTCAGCACACGGGACCGGTCCCTGACCCGCCAGAGCCGGCCCCGCCAGTCGAACACACCTTGCCCGAGGTCGTCAGTCTGCGCAGACAGCTCCTGGTCGACGTAGCTGGCGTCGATGGTGGACGAGTCGAGCAGGCCAGGCACGCCCTCACCGTCCAGCTTCTCGTACAGCATGGCCGTGGGCAGCATTTGTGCGAACGGCTCCATGCCGTTGGCCAGCTCGCAGGCGGTAATGCCGACGCTGTAGACGTCGGATGTCTCCGAGTAGCCGCGCAGGTCCTGCCGGCCGCGTGCCGCCACACAGTGACGAGCACGACAGGAGCCGCGGCGCGCTGCGTGGTGACCTCGTCCCCAGTCAAGGGCGCAACGCGCCGCTGCTCAGGCGTTGTCACGCGTCGCTGGCTCATGTGAGGTAAATGCTTCGATGTTGATCTGAGTTTTAGGGCGCGCTAAATTCTGAGGTCATTTTGCGCCCAGTAAATGCTTTGCAGGGATGCTTACGAAGACGGTGACATCCTGCAGTCTCGTGCAGCCAAACATCCGAACGTCACCAACTCTGCGGGCCAACATCCTCGGCCGCCACACACTGTCGCCGGCAGCCATTCCGCGTTGGCTCCCTCCGCCGACGGTTACCTGGCTGCGCCGCCGACAGTTGAGGCTGTCGGCCGCGCAGTCCGGGTAGCGGCGTAGCCGGGGCAGCCGGCGGCCGTGCCGGTACACGCTGACACTCACCTGGGCCAGTATCTCGGGACTGAGCCAGTTGAGGCTGTCGGCGGCACAGTCCGGGTAGCGGTGCAGCCGGGGCAGCCGGCGGCCGTGCCGGTACAGGCTGACGCTGGAGCGCAGGCCGGTCAGGTACGTCCGGCCGGCGTCGCTCACCACTATGTGAGACGCCCGGACACTCCTGCGGCCGACGGGGCGCCGGTTAACGGCAGGCAGGCATGGCCACCGCACGCGCACGCGCACGCGCACGCGCACACGCACACGCACACACACGCACACGCACACACAAACCCAGATAAAGAGAGAGGTTGTCAGGTTACGCTGCTGCGATGAGGACATGCTTTTCAGGGATTTGAGCTGAGATTACATGGGTATGACGATCGATCACGTTACATGAACGCTCATGCGTTTAGTATAAAATAACCATTTACCTGGCTTCAGTTCGACCCATTACCAGACATACTCCCAAAAGGCACGTATCCCAGCGCTAATTCACCTTTTGTAATAATTCGGACCGCACCCGGTCCATGCAACTTGATACTTAGAACACGCCACAGTTTTAACCGACGGTGCGAGGAACGTGCTATGACCTTTTCAGGATCGTTCTAACACGCTCAACAACAGGACCAAAACGGAGACGCTGTCGTCGTCGCCATTTTCGCCAACCACAGGAAAAGCGAAGCTCCTGCCAAGCCAGGCTAAAAAAACACACAGGCAGGAGTTCGTTGACCTCACCTGTCCGCCCGAAACATACACTTTATTGGAAAAATGGTTGTGCCATCTTCTTGTCACCATATTTGACACGAGACACTAAGCAATGCTGACCCAGGCCTGTGCTAGCCAACCGTCCCACCTGTGTATGCAGCCTTGCTGATGCAGGTACTCAAGTGCCTGCAGCACGTCGCGCAGGATCAGCGCGATGGCGCGCTCGGGTAGGCCCTCGTTGAAATGGGCAGCCAACAGGTCCTTGGTAGAGCCATAGCCACAGAGCGGCTCCACCATCCACAGCTGAGAGCCGCAGACGAAGGAGCTGAGGCAGGGCATCAGGCTGGGGTGGCGCAGCTGGCGCATCATGCGGCTCTCGTGCTGTCAACGGCCGGATGACGCGCCATCAGCATGGTTAGCACCGAGTTGTCACACCAGCAGAACAAGGTTTCAACATAGGTTGGTAGTCATGGCAGCACAGGGTACAAATAGGGTTTGTTTGTAGACATTGTTTGATTAATTGGATGTGGTTTGTTTATAACAGATACAGCTAGAAAACTATCATAGTTTATGGTCACAAAATACTAGTAAGTCAGCTCAAATTGGGTGAGTCTATTATTTTGAGACAATAGGTGTGGTATTTGAAAGGGATCAGTACGGGGGCAGATCACACATTCACACAGGACAGGTTTAGGGATGGCCCATGGGCCAAGCTCTGAATATTGTGCTAGTTCACCAATGATTCTGCCAAACAGAAAATTATGCATGATTTTAAGCATTTGGAGCCACAGCACTCATGGCCCCAATAAACCCCTCAAGTGGCTTTGTCACCACAGCACTGCATGCTTGTACAAACATTCAGGGACATGGCTAAACAGCCTGCTTTAGCACAAAACACCAGGTACACAGTTCTTAACTCTACAAAAGTGATCAAATTATAGAACTTCAGTGCAACATATCTGCTATTCAATTAAGATAATAGGTTTCTCACCTGGAGCATCTCCAGTATTTCATGGTTACATTTGTCAACCTCGTATTTCTTCACAGCCACAAGATTGCCGGATGTTGCATGCCGTGCTAGCCACACAGATCCAATTCCATTGAAGCATGGCCCAATGATTGTCAGAACCTTGTAAGCAGTGGGGGTTGACTCGTGTTGAAGCATTTTATCAAATCATTGATGGGTTGCCTGAAATAAAAACCATCATTAGGATGACAGATGGCAACACATGGACTATAAATACATACATCATACAAAGCCACAATAACAAACAAGAATGGATCATTTCCAGATTGAGATAGATGAGCCAATGGCCACCCATATTGACACTCAATATGGACCTGAACTGTATGCTCCAACTCTTCAAATGCTGCAAAAAGTGTTACCAGCCCTGTGTGACCAAACGGATGTCCAGACAAGTAACTTGCGCCCACCTAACGAGGTAGACAAAAAATTAATGAGCATGTAAATGTTTGACCTTGGCCTCTTAACCATAAAAGGACTTTGTAGCCCAAGGCATACTCAAGCATGATGGATGGTACATTAGCCCCCAGATCTCAGAAATTGGTAGCAAAATGTTGTCACATCCAGCAATCATCCCAAAAACTGGCACACTGAATCTAAAGGAACTGTTTGATGGACCTGCAAACAAACTGTGTTTAGTGGAGTACATTTAAGGCTGGAGCACCTGATCAGCATTCACTAAGCATCTTTCTTTTTCTAAATGTCTGCCCTTGTGCCATGAGAATTCTGTACAACCTCTGCCTTGGCATACACTTTGAGGAAAATGCTATGTCAATAATAATAAATCATTGTGCATCATGAGCTACAAATGGGGAGTAGGGGGCATCAATGAGATTCATAATGTCATGATCAAGGACTAGGCATCCAAGTGATAACATCTTGACTGCTTCACATTGGTTTAAGTTGAAAAGCTGCCTTTGTCTTGCAAAATTAATAACCCTGTCAGAACAATATCATATTTTGCTGCTAACAATGTCTCCCAAAAATCTTTATAATGAACTCAAATTTGATATCTTAAGAACAGGTGAGGGATAAGTAGGAGATAAGGAGAGGGATGTGACCAGGTTAGTTTAGTTTAGTTAAATGCTTGTAATGTTTGTAGGCCAGACCTGGCTGGTTGACTGATTCAAACTCCCAAAACTTTTTGGTGCTTCATGTCATCTGGGGTTCCTGCACACCTCATAGAATGTTAACTATTGTGGTAGTTCTAAAGGCAATAATAACATTAGCAAATGATTCCATCAGCTGTTTAATAGAAACTGGGTATAGGAAGGTACTCATAACAGAGCAAGGACAATTTGAAACCATGACACAAATAGTGTTATTGGCTACTACAACATAAATACAAACTCTTAAAAGCAGCCATCAGCATAACCAACACTGGGCAGATACTTGATGCCGAATGCTAGAGCTCGAAGCTAGTGTCACACTGCCACATTACTTTACAATCACGAATAAAGAGTATATACAGATCGATTTCATAACAGAACTATCAAAATATTACAACAGGCAAACATGCCCACAATGCACAAGCAGTAAAGAAGCCATTTACCTTCAGTCGCACCTTCAAAGCCACATCTCAGCCTGCCCGAATATGCGTTTGGTCTTCTTTAAGCGTTTCTAATATCTACTCCATAAGACCGTACTGCGCTGAGGCCGTTTAAGCGGTATCTCGACTCTCTGGGCCAAAACTAATCCTACCCCAGCTCTAACTCCAAACTCTAATCTAACTCAAATATCCCACCCAATAGATCCCGACGTAAAGCGGCATTGCGGCGCGTAGCGTGTTATTCTTCGGATCTGGTCGCGAACACATATGGCAGCAATCGATATGAAGGCGTATCCAACGCCTTGATAAAACACCGTCCTACAGTGCAAGGAAACCCTGTCAAAGTCGAGGAGTACCTGTTCATGTACTTGTGCCTTGTCGGTTACCTCGTCCTTCCCAGCTCACACATCAATTGGCGCATAAGAATACACCAGGGATGTGGTGTCCCGTTCGGCTGGATGGAGGCGGGTTGCAGCCACGTTACTTTGGGGAGACAGATGCGCAGATTGGTAAAAACCTGCATTGCGGTGCGCTTTGGGGTACATTTATGCATTTGCCTACCCCGCTCCCCTCCTCCCAACCTCTTATAACACAGAGCTACTCAGCTGCGAACAGCGTGAATGAATCTCGGACTTCCCATGAACCGCAGCGTCAAGCCGCCCACAGAGTCAAAGTTCATGCGAAGAAAGCTTCACACAGCAGCTGCAGTGGATTGTGTATTTCTGTGAAAGAGCATTATCCCATTTGTCCCGCCGTCGCCGCCGGGACAAAGCGTGACCCAGACCCCATTCGTTTCCACATCTGCTAGTTCAGCGGACGAACGGCCAGGTGGCGACAAGAATAATGCTGTCTGGGCGCCACATTCAGTCACACGTGAATCACAAACAACAGCGGTTCAGGACTGATCACAGATTGCGGCAATGAACCAGACCCAAATGATGACAGACGACAACTACGAACGACACGAGCAGGTCCTAATTCTCACAGCGACAGTGCCAACAGGACACTTACAGCAAAGGTGCCGAGAGCACACTGTCATCAAGCGTGCCATCACCATCCTAACATATACCTTGGCCCGCTTTCATTCTCCGCACCGAATGGCCTCTGGTAAGGTCAGCGCTACGAGGTGGGCTACTTGGTAACCCATGCGAAGGCTCCATGACACCAGACGTCCGCGCGACCAACCACGATGTCTTCAAAAAGGTCGTCACAGGCTGGTCTGCTGTGCCAAAAAGGTTTTGATGCGCTGAAGAAGTTCTTTCTTTACAGAGTCCGGGACAAGTGCTGAAAACGACAGAGGTTATTAACACCTCACTTCGCCCCATCGATGGTAAGCACAAGTTAGGAAACTATCACAGTCATAGCAGATACTTCAACACGGCGTTGAACTGGCTAGCGGACAATTCACCGCAGATTAGGACAGTGGTCACCAATTACGGGAAGAACATTTTGTACACCACGGAGGGTCAGTCTCCCCTCAGTTTCTAAACTCTTAACATGCCGCAAAAAACATTTTCCTCAGCATTCATTCTTACTACAATTAGCCTTATTACTCTCCCCTCTATGACTAGAAGCCTGACCTGTGAGTAGAGTATTGGAGGATAGATTGAGGGACAAACAACATGCCAAGTCGTACATCTGACTAGCAAAATCAGGCCCACCACGTTCAACGTCGTCCATATGGCGCCACCTGGAGAATATGTCAGGGGGGGGGGGAGGGGGTCTTAGAATCGGACCGCCTGTCTGCAGTACCAATTGGCTACTTGAACGCGCCGCTGAAAGCAGCCGGTGGCGGCAAAGTCGCCAGCGTGCGTACATGCCGATCTACCTAGAACGGACGTCGACAGCGCGTGCCTGATCCCTGGATGTAATCCAGAGGTCCGGTCGCGGAATCCAGGGATGATCCCTGGATGTAAGCGTACTGACCTCGGCCCTTGGGTGTGATGACGGTGACGAGATCATCGACTGTGACGTTCTCCAGGCCCTGCTCGCGCACCACCTCCTTACACTGGGCCTTCAGTTGGTCCCGCCAGCCGCACTCGATGAGGCGAGTCCGCAGAAGCTCCTTCAGCCTGCCGGAGGGAGAGACCAGCCCTCTGAGGCTAGACGGCTACACAGCGGAGATCGGCACGATAGAGGCCACAGATCACGGCGCAGGGCCAGGATCGCGCCCAGTGCGGCGCTACTCTGCTTAGGGACATGAAATATTCAGAGATCGGTCTCTGAAGCAAAATCTTACTTTCACATTGGGGGGAGGATGTGGGGAGGATGCTTGTATAATACAGAATTTTCACCATTTTCATGTATGGCTCATGACGACCTTAAACACAAATACAAATGGCATGTTTTTAATACAAAACTTACACCTGAATGAAATTTAAAATAACTTAGGAACTATGCTTACCTGAACAATGAAAGCATTGTCACTCATTGCGATGTGGCCCATCCCACCTCCTTGACGCGAAAGTTTAACATAAGCCGATATCCCAAGAAGTATCAAATTTGAGGCTTCGTTTGGAAAACATACTTAAAGGAATGTTCCTAAGACGCTGCAGTAACTTACATTTCCACACTTTGAGGCCTGGATCGGTTTATATGTTGAAACTGTACCACTTCCAGTCACTTCAATGATGTCCAAATAAAAACAAACAGGAAAAAACAGCTCTTGCTATTTGGTGTGAATACAAATGTTGATTCTTTTCAAAACAGTCTACTCCATTATCCTTTCTTTGGAGGGCTTCTGTCTCAGAAAGATGGTATCAAATGAATAAAAATAGATTCCTATGCTCAAGGTAAGTTATTGTCCATAAAACAAGGGCAAATGTTGAGTCCAGCAGCATTTCCAGTGAACAGAAACACTGCCAGGTCAGCATATGCAGACGCAACACCCACTGTCCACTCACTTCTCCTTTTCTCCAGTCTCTACTAGCTTGAGATTAATGGCTGTTCGCATCTCCGCTTCACGGCTGAAAATACACAAGACTCTCAGTTCCTGCTGAAAACATAATGGCAACATGGCGGTAATGACACAACCAAAGCCTAGCCATGCAGTGGCTCTTAAACTGAATTCCAGGGGCTTGATATTCCGGTACTTCATTTCACATTCCACAACACACAGCGATATGGGCAATGAAGGCGGAAAGCAAAGGGCATGGTTTCACACCACAGCTGTAACTTTGCATTCTAAAAAGGCTATGACTACAGCTTGGCAAGAGTGCTCACCAATCACCAAGCACTCACATTACCAGCCTCTGCCCAGTGCTCTGCTTCAACAGGAAATTCACACTGAACTTTGGTGAAATACTTTACCCATTGCATATCCCTAAACATCTGTTCTAAAAAATAACCTAAATCACTGAAGCATGTAAACATGTTCAATTTTATTCCTGTCCACACCATCAAATGCCTCCAGTATTCCACATATGTAGACTCTTATTCGACTGTAACCAAAACCAAAACAGCAACCCATTAATGATACCAATAAGATTGCATTCAACCATATCACCCATAGGTATATCACCCATTACTTTCATGCCACTTGTAGATGGCCATCAATGGTGACCCAAGAGACCCAAGTGTTCAGTATTCCTAGGTAACCAATTGCGAGAGCCAAAGGTTTTGCTACACCTTTGTTTGTTTGTGTTTGTTGTCAAATGTTTTTAGAGTTAAATTCTTAGCCTGTAGGACAAATGTTACCTGTTTCATTACAGCTGATAAGCAGATTGCTACCAACCTCCCAGCTACATTGGTACACACACATACATGTGTGCGTGTATGCATGCATGCATGCACGCACAAATGCACGTGCAGCGAGCACGCGCGTGACACACACACACACACACACACAATAAACCATTGCGCCACTGATCTGGCATTTGGTCACTGTAACACACAGCTGGCATCAGGGGTGTAGGTTCACAAAGTGAATTGAAAGGCCAGGCTGAGGGGTGAAAATGATGCAACACACCCCAAAACATGCCAACCAACTGGCTTCTCTTCAGACTTGGCCCACTTCTTATCAAAGTTAAAGGGGCTGGAGCCACAGAGTGGGGGAGGGGACACCCTCAACTGAATGTGAAACTATACTCCTATATATATATATATATATATATATATATATATATATATATATATATATATACTCCCGGCTCACATACAAAGCTGATTACTTACTCATTCATATTTCAAATCTTTACTTTCTTGTTGAAATATTATGGGATGATCTGGCCTTTCAGTTTGTTTCCAGATGCTGTTTTCCAAACAATTCCTGAAAAAAGAAGACCAAAATATCATTAACCATGAATACCAGCAGTCCAGTGTTCCTGGATGGGAAATCAAGGAATGATATGACACATAGTGTGATAGGACTTCCACTTGGATAGAGTAAATCAGCATTCCTTTGGTCATAAAGTTTACTCAGATCTAGCCTTTAGGAAGCCCAAATTAAGTAAAGGTAAGTTAAGAAGGGCTCTAGGTCACTTAAACTTTTTAAAAATATGTTTACAGCTGGCATCTTGGAGTAGGAGCAGCAGTGTAGCATGAACACTGTAATGTATCCCAAACCAAAGATTTCATATTCCAAGGAAGTGTACTAGGCTTGAAGGTGTCAGGGAAGGAAAGGATGCTGTCCAGTGCAAACACCAGAGGCACTGTAATAAAAGCATGGGGCAATTTCACTGTTTTGAAGGAATGACATGGAAGATCAGCTGGCAACTGGCCAATGGTGGTTAAGCTGGATGGGAAATGTACAAGAGTGCTGTGAAGCTTGTGAAGCCCTCTACTCCTGTATGACACAAAGATGGCATGTAACATTATCCAGTGAATTGGATCACCTTAATTTGGGTGGTAGGTCCATGGTACACAAAACAAACTTCTTGGAAAGCATTCATTCAAATGAATGCATTCAACTGTAACATTCAATATTGAGTGAATGCAAAAGATTCCCATAATATGTCCTTCAAAGAAATCACAGAGAAGGGGGTCCTGGGGAACTTCCCAGGTAGCAAGAGACCAGTTAAACAAGGGAAGTGACTCAACTGCATATTATGATTTTAAAATGCAAGGTATCAATGCAATCCCCTGTTAAGGTAAAAATTGGGCCACTGTACTGGTGACCAAGCTGGAGATCTCATGGGTGATGTGGAGCTGGTGATGGTGATTAGGAGTAGGGCCCCAACAAACTTAGGCATAAGGGTAATAGAGCTCACCAGGTATTTCAGATCAGAGATACTGATTTGCAACATAAGTTGCTGGGGACTAGGGGCCTGAACAGAAATAAATGGCTAGATCTACCATAAATCTATCACAACAGGTTTCTTCCAAGGTTTGAAATACCCCCCTCAAATTTGATTGGGCAGGATTCCAGTCCCTCACAAAAGGTAAGGAAATACATCACTGCTCCATGCCATAAAGGAACCTTGACCACATTCCATCCAAAGTGCTCAGTCTGACATTTCATGCAACATTATCATGTCAAGGCCTGACCACAGAACAATGGATCCACACACAATAGAACATCATTAACCTGCACTCCCCCAATGCCACTCTGCAAAACATGACAGATTTGGATGAGATCCCATCATAACAAAGGTCAGGCACACCTCAATTTGAGGCAAGTTTTGAAACTTGTATGATAAATAATACAATTAAATTATTGAGGGGATCATAACCAGTTCTATGATTAACAGAAATAGCAAGTTCACAAAACATAACAAAATCTTAAATTCATCATTTTTTCACTGTAAGGATAACAAAATTTAACATATTGTTATCATACTGGGGATGGAGCAGCCCCAAACATTTCAATGGAAATTTGCCATGGTTTCTGCAAACTTGCAGATAGGCCCTTAGTTTCTGGTGGCCGTACAAATCCCACGCTATCAGGCATTCACTATCACGCTGCCCAGGCCTGTGACAACATGCAACTGCAAGGACCTGGCCAGAAAAACCACACACCAAACCCTGGAGCAAACTTCCAGCTAACCGAACTACACAAGGCCCCACAATTCATGGTGTTCTATCACCCTGATCCATGCCAGACATGTACCACCAACCGCTCATGAACTCCCTCACACACTGCATATACAGGAGGTCAACCGCCCGCTGTGCAAACACAAGGCGCCACGCGAAACATCGGCGCCATATTTGGGAATCAGTCGTTTTCCTGTCCAAAATCTTTCTTCTTTCCCAAATGTTTCTCGACGGATTTAACCCACTTCATTTTCACGATGAGCAATTTAATCGCTGTGTTATTGAGCCACACATGAAGTTTTTCAATTCAGCAGTATCCTAGTCGTGGCTGTGGAATGATGTACAGAGCAAGACAAATTTGGCGAAATATTTTATGCTATTATTCACCTCAATTTCTGTAATTTTCCCCTAGAGGCATCGAGCAGACCAAACCAGTCTAAAATATCATGGCAGGAGGGCACGGGTGTGGATTTGAGTTCCTTTGTGAGGGCCCTGTCCCGCAATGTTGAGCCGGCCCCTCTCCATGTCGGCTTGGCCCCTGTTTTCGGCTGGAACACTACAAAAAGATGTGAGTAAAAGAAAATCATAACACAAAGACTATCTTCTTTGATCTTTCTGCGTAGTTGCTTCTCGTACCACCCTCATAACAAAAAGTTATGGCCGCTCTTACCACAAGATAAAAATCGTAACAGCTGAGGGGAAAAACGACGCAATAAACTTAACGTACCTAGCGCAATAAGACACGCAATGGTTCGGGAGCTTAAAGTGAAAAGCTCTGGAATATGGAAATGACTTAAGTCTTTCTTGGCTAACCCCGTCCCCGTACCCAACAGTCAAAATGCGGGCCGCCTCTCATGACCGTCATAGAAGAGCGCCATCGGCGCCCCAAGATTGCTTCTGAAGGGGCTAAGGGGCGCCTTCACGTGCCGATCAGAAGAGGACGCGTGAGTCCAGTGTCTGCTTCCTGGATCCAACCCTGCATGACTTCTATACTGCTTAAATTAAACACTTTTATAAACTATACAAAGATCAAAAACATATGTTGCGTTTAATCAAAATAGAGTGGGCTAAATCCTGTGAGAAAAACGGGGGATGGGGTAGGATGTTGGGCCATTGGTTCTGCCCCTCTAATAACTTTCAAAAATTAACACCCCTGGGGAGAGCTAATGGAAGAAGAATCAGAACGAGGACATGACCCTCATCATCAAATACAAATCGATTACCCTGGGAATCGTCTATTGTAGAGTTGAAAAATGTATCCTTCAAGCGGAACAGGGGCTGATCCAAGGGGGGGGGGGGCGTGACACAGGGCCACATCCATTTTAAGCCCCGAGGGAGCCCATAGGCTCTGAAGGGGCCCAAAGCCTCCCGAACAGACGCAGTTTTTTTAAGCACAAAATTGTATGTGTTTGGGGTTCCAGGGAACAAGAACTGCCGCAAGCAAATGTGAAAGGCCCATAAGCAGGCAAAATAATAATTATCCGATTGAGAGGTTGATGACTAAGACATTTTAAGGCCCATTGCTGTCCTGTCCTGAGGCCCTGCGCAGTTCCCGGAGACCCTATATGTCCACTTGTAGGTGCATTCGATCGCGGTTTCCAGTTGGCTGCACACAGCAGGATGGCTACGGTGTAGTAAAATAGCGTCTATAATAAGCTCAGAATTGAATAGCCGGAGCAAGGATATTTTTTGGAAGGGGGCCCAAAACAGAGGGGCTCCACAATGTTGCATGCCCAGCCCCCCTGACGAAATCCTGGATTCGCTTCTGGTTGAAACCCTTGGCACCATGAACTGAAATCTGGATATTTTACCCTTACGTCGCATGTAGAACTTCACACAATATAAATCATATGCTCTCATCCATCATCCTTATCGATTACAAGTTACAATAAGATCGTGCAGATCTAGTGAGATAGCCCCAGCAGCTGGCGACAACTCAACCCCAAAACAAGGAGTTTTACGGACTATATGGGACCCATATGGTAGCCTTGAGACAAACCAGACGCACCAAATTTGCAGTTGCCGGTTTGCACAGGCAGATGATCCCCGGCTGCACACGGCACACAACTTGGGAGCTGCGGTGTCCGCGTTGTTTCACACGGCATGAACCGAGACAAGGTCAGTAATGAGTGCAGTTATTGGTGTCGTGCGCGCGTAAATTGAACTTGTGATTGGTGCTTGCGTGTCAGGCCCAGAGGAAGTTAATTATGACATGAGCCAGCGAGGTGCGACTCGGCAAGCCGGATCTCGCTCTGGTGGTGATCTAGTTGGGTGGGACAAACATTACCACAGACTATAAGCCAAGACCATGGAGGCCACCTTGTATTTATGTTATGCAGTGGTGTGGATTTGTGGTAACCATTGGGGAACTGAGCCAAAGACCCGAAGCGCTGACCTTTCCCTCTTCTAACAGCTTGAGGTATTTTCATGGTGATGCTTGGTTAACTGTATTCAAAGTGTTTGTACCATTCTTATCACTTATTAACCTGGCCATATTGTGGTTTTAACAGTGTTGTGTCTGGCCATCTTATAATGCAAAAAATTAAGCACTGCCATTCATAGCCTTCATTCAGTTTTTACTTTATACACCTAGCCTAGTGTGACTATGCCTAGCCTATATGCCTATGGTAAAATGGGTACATCCCCTTCTCTTGACCTCTGAATGTTGAACATCATGATTCCCCAGATGATTATAGACCAAAAATTAAACCTTTTGAAATGATCTAGAACCTTACAAAATATTGCATCTCACATTTCTGAAGACAGTCCTTTTTTATTGTCATAATCATCTGCTTATGACAACTACTGTTGACCCTATGGCATGCATGCTATCACCAACTGTCAGTGCCTCCTGATGCTTTTGAAGGTTGGTTATCTTTGGCATGAGGACACATAGCAGCTTAGCAGCTAGCTTTTATAAACTGGTTACTAAAATGCTTTAAAGATAACAGCCAGTTCTGAAGTAGGCACCTTAGTGTTAAACTACCTTAAATTGGCAGGAGTGACAGCCAAAAGCAGGTAGGCCAAATGCCTTCTCAAAGTTGATTTTGTATTGACAATGATAGGACTCTTGGTAAACTGATGAAAAGTGGGTGGGTTATCACCCACTCACCCCCTACATGCCGCTGTGCCTGTGAGATTGGCGTTAACATGCACCCAGGTATCTGGTTGAAAGCAGCATATGGGGGTGGTAGGCAATTAATTGGTGGGTTCCTTTTTACTGACATGTGGATCAGTAAAATGCCCTGAAAAATATTTTCTAGAGAAGCTCAGAGTGATCCAAATCCTTCAATAACATTTTAATATTTGAATTTACAGTCCGTGTGAATAACTACCCCGGGCTTTCAGCAGTGCCCAGACTCAATGGGCCTCACTTGAAGGACTGGTGGTGGCTTATCTGCCCATGCTGTGAGGCATAGCTTCAGCTTTCAGTTTCATTCATACAGCGCAGATTTTTCACAGAGTGCCGAAGCAGGTTCAGATCAGAAGATCACATAGTCAATGTTTGCATATTTCTCAATGGACCATTTCAGCCAGCCAGTGGGCATGGGCGGTTGCGTGGGCGCTTGTAAGGCCCATGTAACTGCCTTGTAGGGCAGGCAGTAAGGATGGGAAAATTTTCATTGACGTCCCATTTGCGAATATGAATTCTCCTAAGCTAGCCCAACTTTCGACTTTTCGGATTTAGCGCACGTTGTGCCTGTGCTTGGGTGAGGAAAAATGACAAGAAGCAGATTGGCAGCGCTACGATCGCGCCATAACAAGACGTTTCAGTTTCTAAAAACTGGCTTCGGCTCTGTCATCGTGACGTTTCCACAGCAGTTCCAACATTACTTCATAGAAGTAGTTTTGCCCGTCTCGTTATTCGAATACTGCACCCCGGCTTTCGAGGCTGCGACGCAGACACGATGCGATCCAAAAATCGGTCGGCCATTCCAAGAACTCATTAACACATGACCGCGGCTGGGGAACTACCGCTCCGAGTACTGTTTGCACACGATCACAAGACGAGGAGGATAGGGCGAACAATTGTTTTATCCGTGGTGGTACATTCACGTTGTTCTGTGACCTCATACGAATTTAGCATCCATGGCTTTGGTTTCGCAAACCAGCGTGGTAAAGTACATTTGGAAAGTGGAACGGTTGATACAAAATTGGTTGTGGTGGCAAAGATAGGGGTATCCACATTTGGTTCAACATTCAGTAGGTTTCTCCCAGGACCGCGACAGCACGTCAATATGTGCGGCCACGTCCATCGTCGGCTGGCTGGCGCCCTGTTGGTCGCTTCCTCAGTTTGATTTATTCAAGATGTGCAATTTGATTTTTCGAAGGTGCATTTTAAGTCTTTCGTTGCTAATTTCGTTTTCACGCTTTTTCATTTGCTCAATGATAACAACGCTAAGTTTACTCGAATATAAAACACTGACAAAGGGAGTGGAACGAAGATACGTTGTAGGCAATCGACGCAATCAACGCTCGTGGTTC